CGGAGGCGTATGTTGTCGGCTTCCATTGCGAGATCGACATCGTGGCTTTCGTGGCCAACCTCCGAGGTTTCTTCTACGTCCGCAGCCTCAGCATCGTCGATAGCCGTCCTCATGTCCTGCGTGACCCGCTGTAGCTGCATGAGGACCGTCTTGTCGGTGATATCCTGGGTGATGCGGGTAACCCATCGTTCGTTATTGCTACCAAGCATGGCATTGGCAAACAGCACGGCAAGGAGCTGAGTTAGGCATCGCGTTAGCTTGAACTTTCGTTCGCGCCGCCGGACCAAGGGCGACGCCTGGACGGGGCACGGATGGTTGCCTACCTTGCTGATGGCTTCTGGCTGCGCTTCTCTCGCTCTGGGTCTGATATCGGCAAGCTTGGTTTGCCCAATAAGCCCCGGACACTCGCGATAAACTAGCCTCGTGATGCCCTTGTAGACATCGTACAGCTCGCCCTCAGTGGTGTTTGAGTCGAAGGAGGGGTCGAGTTCTTGGAGGACCTTGGATAGGAGGTGGCCGTCGAGGAAGTCTGATATTGAGTCGGCCTGTCTATCCAGGGGAAATGTGTTCGCCTGTGCAGGAAGCATTAAGTCAGCATAATGTTGAAGCTACGTAGCGGTCTGTAACAACACTGGGGAAAAGGAAGTGACCCATCTGAGGGACACAAGGGGGACGATCTGGAGGGGAGCGCAAGCACGGCGGCTTACCCATTGCACCAGCGCGGCCTGCGCGCTTCCTGAGTACGGCATGATGCCCGTCTGTCGTATCGTAACGGTCGTCGTCTTCGTAGTCGTCTTTCGTCGTAGTTTCGTCGATGTCTCTAGGCTGGTGAGGTATCCCTAGGTGAAGTACCTTTGGATTTGGAGCTGGAGCACGTGGTAAAGGCGAAAGGGCTCCCGCGGTTCCACTATGTTTTGCGGTCGTGTTCGTGCTTGTTGCAAGTCAAAGCGGGCAGGGGAAATGTGGTTCCATGGGCCCGGGAAGCTCTCATCGCAAAGGGGGCTTCGGCTAGGGGGGAAAGGAGCGTGACGGGATATTAAAGGTTCAGGTCGGAGTTGGTGAGAAATGGCTTCGTCGGCCGAGAGAAGGGCGGTGTAAAGGAAATGTAAGGTGAACAGAGCCTTGTTCGCGCACAGTCGTATGAGACAAGGGCAGCAAGAGAAAATTAAAAGAGGGATGTCTCTCTGTCTCGCGGTGCTCGTCGTCCCAAATCCCAAAAGACAGGCGCATTGTTCATGTCCGCTCCCTCCTGTCGAACCCACATTCAATCTTCCATTGCATGACTTGCATCAAGCTCCTCCTTAGGTACCTTAAGGAATTCTTAGCGCGTCGTGCGCAGCTACCGCCATCCGCCAGATTACCTGACTGGAGGTGCCTTACCCAGAGCCCGAAACTCCAAGTGACGCGAAGCGGGACGGACTGCCAGGGGCTGACTTGATGCTACAGTGGGGCAGTCGGGTCCTTATGCCCCCAGGTCGAGTCTTCGACACCCTCCAGCGCCCGGTGACAGCACCGTTTTCACCTCTCCCCAAGCAGCCACTTTCTTTTCCCTTCGTTGTCAGGTTTGCCTGGATGAATGTCTTCCTTTATACCCGAGCCTAGGTCAGGTCACAATGCCGAGCCGAAGAACAATAATATTGTACTTGAGTGTTTATCGAGAAACCTCGTATTCTCTTTCGAAACCCAACATCAATCGAAAGGCGTCTCTTCCATCAAACAATTCCGAACCATGTTCAAACTGCACTATTCTTGTACCTTGGCGGCCACAAGCACAGACTCCAAGTCATCATATCGGACGGTCCTGGGTCATCAACACCTAACTTGACCACCAACGACCCTTCAATATCACTTTCCCCATCGCAGTCGGAAGAGCCCACGGTACAGATACCGGAATCTTGGACGGTCTTGATATCCCATTAATGTGGGCTTCTCCACGAAAGTTCGAGGAGGTTAGTCACCATCGTAGGCTTGGAACCGGTTCGCTTTGGACCCTTCTCCACGGTTCCGTGCCGAACCAAAGAGCCAACCCACTGATACCTAAGTAAGGTAGGCAGGCTGGAGGATTCTCTCTTCAGCCCCCCCTTTCAGGTCTGTCGTCAGTCAGTGACAGACAGACTGCCCGTGTCACATCCAAAGAGCCGGGCTGGTCTTTAAAGAGTGGCTTTTCAAAATCTCCCCCACCTTGCGCTTTGACACGTCTGAGTGTGAGATTGCTAGGTGCTTTTTCTGCCCAACCCAATTGGAGCACTACGCGAGGTATCAGAAACACCGGGCTTGCATCCCGTGAGGACCGCCGACACACTTGTACTTTGAGGTATGTTGTGTCACTGCAATGAGGCACCTGCAGCATTTCATGCTCTAGACGAGGCTTCGAAATATAATGTAGTCTGTGCCTCTCAGCGACATATCCGTCCCTGGCCAAAAAAAGCCTGGATCAGCATCCTTGGCCGGCAGTGGAGAAGCTAGAAGACGCAGAAAATCCGCTTTTGATCTGCACATATGCTTTCATGCCGCACAGGAATCCCCCACTCATCAGGTACATCGCCTTGGGGATTGGTTCATGAAGGACGGAGCGTTCACACAAGGCTTAGATCCCTCATCGACGTTGCCGTGTGGATGTCAGCCGCATCCAGAGCCTGACTTACATCACTCCGGAACGCCACTCCGTCAATGTTGAGCAAAGCAGAGATGCCGCCAATGGAGAAGGACTCCCTTGAACGTGGCAGGGCAGCCGTGGTAGAGACTAGAAGCATGAAAAGGTACTAACGATTTGATTTTAAATTTGTTTTGAGGCGTTGAGCAGGATTGAACCACTTGCGGCTCAAGCCTCACGCGGCCGTAATAAGGTACATAAAAAGATGCCTTGAGGCACTTCTCATCGATGTAACTCCCGACTCCGTAGTTATGAATCGTCTTATGACGGCAAAGGTAAATTAGAAACTGCCCTCCTCGCTTGTCCCTGTCGCAGCCGCCGGGAAAGGCGGCGGATATCATTGTCCTTGTGACCTAGTCCAGCCAAAGTCCCTTTTCGCACATTGTTGTTTCTTTGACCAGATGCATGCTTCGCAAATTGTCTGTCGCCAGTTACGCAGAATGATTGACGTCTTGTTCCGATGATGCGTTAATCTATACGGAGTTGGTGACAGTATGATCCTCTTCGATTGCGAGGCCTTCGCTGAAGGCTTGAACGGTTTCAAGGACCTTGGCGGGCGTGACAGCGGCAAATCCCCTGTCAATTGTTAGCTGCAGTTTGGAAACGTCGAATCGCTGAAAAATGATTGCTCACCTAATCAAAGAGTAGGTATGGGTGATCTGGCCGCCAGCATCGATGATGGATTGCCTCGCCTTCTGGATGACATCGTCACCGATGGAATCGGACTGGGCCCAGACGATGACGGACTTCATCTGGTCGACGGCGAGAACGCCGGGGACGACAGCCAGAGCTGCAACGAGAAAGGTGGAGGGTCTCATGGTTGCGGGTTGCGGGGTGCGGGGTGCGACAAGAGGTTGATCGAAAAATTGGAGTTCGTGTGTCTTTGCTGTCGCCGATGTCGATGCGATTCGGTATGGAGAGTCTGCGTTCAGGGCGATCAAAGATCGGTCAAGGTCGAGGATGAGCGTAGTGGCGGAGTTGCTGGGTAAGGTAGTGTGATTGACGATTGCGCCCAAGGGTCCAGTGTGGGGGGGTCGACGGGTATTTAATCGTTGCTAGAGAAAGTTGCTGGAGACTCGCGGATTGATGAAGGACAGGTGGATGCAGGAAGCAAGTTCAGCAGGTTGGATGTGGACGGACTGGGCCTTGATGGATGTCGATGTTTGGGTTCCCCTATGTCATGGTAAGGTGATCGCTTATTGAATGGGGACACAGCGCGGAATTTGGGTGCTTGGATGGGCAGTCGCCAGCCGAACCTTGAGGTACTTGCAAGCCACCACCTGCCCCAGTAGGGGGCTCCGTCACCCGTGTGGTCCCCCCCCCCCCAAAGCAGTGGAGGTGGTCCGTTGGCATTTTGTCCCAAAAGGACCTGTTTGTCACTGGTTGCGTCCAGCTTGCCAGGTTCCAGCCAGTAAGGTCTATCAGTATCTTATGCACGTCTGGCATGGTGTGGGAACCGGCAGTGATGGGACAACCTGCACATGTGCCACCTATTTTTTTCGCCAGCATTTCCGTCCGACTCTCAAGTCTCCATACCTAGTGTACAGAAACCGCAGCACGACAACTGCATGGGGTGGCAAGGGCCTTGGCGCGGCTTCAAAGTGGTGACATGCAACTAAAGTCCCACCTCGCTGTTTCCTCCTCTTCCGGTCACGGTGTCCTCCGTCGTCCCGTCAGAACTCGGTCTTCCCTGCATGATGGAAGGTCACCAGCGGGAACATGGCAACCTCAGCCAATCTTGAGCTCCGATTCACACTCACCAATTTCACCAACCGTCTCACCTTGTACAGCAACCTAATGTAATTGTGTAGGACTTCCTGGTGTAACCAACGCTTTCGAGCTATCAACCGCTGCATGCACGCGAATGTCCCGCTGCAGACTCAAAAACAAATTAGCGATATGGTAATCTCAATGTAGATTGTGGGCGAGTAAGTCTTACGCATCCGATCACCAGCCGACTCATGTGTACGACGTTATCCGGCTCACCCGACGATAGGATTCAAGAATTGAGCTTCACACTCAGCCAGCAGATCTGTGTATGTGTAGACGATTTGTATATCGTTGGTCGCCTTGTAAACGTGAATAGTACCGTTCATTTGGCGTAGGGATATTATTTAATTCCGTGAGCATTAAGTGCCGACCTAGAGACCTGAGAGGCCTGGCATTGGTGGGGTGCCGCTATTCTCCCCATAGACGAGCATGTGATCCTCAACGCCGATTCATGACCACTAAACAACGAGACTCCTATTCCCAAACATGCAAAGAAACAATGCTGGTGCAATGCAAGCGCCGCGGGTTGTGTGTCGGTGGAAAAAGCAAACAAACTCATAACGGTCACCGGATGCTTCTACCCCTTCGCACTGCCTGCCGCGCTGTCATTATCACCCCAGATATCCTTAGTCTCCTGCTCGACAGCTCGCATCGCAACAGCAACATGTTCAAGTTTGGCAACGACGTCGAGAACGCCTTTGTTGACCCGTTGAAAGTACCGATCGTTGGCCTCGCGCCTCTTTCGTGCAAGCAGGATGTCCACCTCCGTCTCCTGCTCGAGCTTCGCACCAAGTCGCTCCGTGCCCCCGCTGCTACCTGGCCGGCCATTGTTGCTTCCCGTGCTTCGCGGTCCCTCGTTACCATCTGACGCCACGCCCGTCTCTCCGAGCACTGCACTCTTCAAGTTGCGGACCTCCTCCCCGGCTGCTGACGTGTTGGAACGCTGGCCCGTCATCTCAATGGCCTCATCGGCCTCACTCCGCGCCCAAGCCTGTGCCAGGTCGATCTGAGCTGTTCTCAACTCTTCCAGTTTGCGATCATGATCGGGTCCAAACACGTGAGTTCCACCTGACGCTGAAAGTTCAACCTCCTCGAGCGTTGCCTGCATCTCGGCCCACAATGCGTCGGTCCTGTCGCTGCTCCGGGTACTGTCGGCGGTCTTGAGATTCCGGGTAGGGCGCGCAACTGATGACGCGACGACCGAGCTGGTATGAAGAGATCCATTCCGTTGCAGGTTCATGGCCTGCTGAGGAAGAGGTGAGACGCCAGTGGAGGAGGTCGCCGGCGCTCCAGGCGCCAGTATACCTGGTAGCGAGGCATGAGAGGCGGCAGGAGATGGATGAAGGAATAGAGACGGCGGAGGGTCGCGCTGTTTGCCTTTGCTCTTGACTGATTGAGACATGCCTACATTTTGTGTGTCGTCGTGAACATTCCAAGCTCGGGACTTGGCGTCTGAGACAGCTTCTCTTGAACTTGACGGCATCTGATAGGATTGGTTGGATACTCGAGGCAAGTTGCGGACCTGGGGCGACACCCCTGGCTAAGGTAAGACCGTCAGCAGCGTGGGGTTCGAGCTCCGTGCGGACGAAAGTGGTTCAAGCCTGGCTATGGGCGGGTGAACATGCCCCCACTTCTGGCTTCCAATCCCGGTATTCTTCCGCTCCTCAGGTAGGGGGAAAGCACGAGCCACAGTCACGTGATGGAAAATCACGCTCCTTCGACCGAAGGGCACAAACCCTCTGTGTGCCGAAAAAGCTGTCGTCGGACAAATCTGAGGATAGCACTTTTCGCGAAGAAGCAGTCAGGCACTATCACCACCACCAAGTCAATTTCCGCGATACCCCCCAACACATCGGTACGTTTCGCTATCCCATTCAGAATCTCCAACCTATCGACGACGAACTCCCAAGAAAATTTCCCACGAACTCGACAACGAAATCCCACCGATTGCCACACCAAAATACCCCTCTTGGAACTTTTTCAACTGACGATAGTCTCAACCAGCCAACATGCCTCGTGGACTCAATGCGGCGCGCAAGCTGCGCATGAACCGTAAGGACCAGAAGTGGGCCGATCTCGGATACAAGAAGCGTGCCCTCGGTACCGCCTTCAAGTCCTCCCCCTTCGGTGGTTCCTCCCACGCCAAGGGCATCGTCCTTGAGAAGGTCGGTGTCGAGGCCAAGCAGCCCAACTCCGCTATCCGAAAGTGCGTTCGTGTTCAGTTGATCAAGAACGGCAAGAAGGTCACTGCTTTCGGTACGATGAACCCCGATCACCTCATACGATTCTCGACGGCAAACAAGAGAATGGAAACTGGTCGAGAGTGGCCATGTAGCGAAGGAACCGAAATGCTAATATATTTGGATTCTAGTCCCCAACGACGGTTGCTTGAACTTCGTCGACGAGAACGACGAGGTCCTCCTGGCCGGTTTCGGTCGCAAGGGCAAGGCCAAGGGTGATATTCCCGGTGTCCGTTTCAAGGTTGTCAAGGTCTCTGGTGTCGGTCTGCTCGCTCTGTGGAAGGAGAAGAAGGAGAAGCCCAGATCCTAAACGGGAGGCTTTTCGCGAAGCATGGGAAGGACAGTGGAAGAAAATTCGGCACTCGGAGTTTTACGCTTGCATTGGCATCAATGGGTTATGGTCCTGATACTGCGGGTAGACTTTGGTCGATGAAATAAAACATCATGAAAGTCACCTGAAATGCGGCATTCACATCACACAAAAACGGGGTTATTCGGGGCGTGAAGAAGAAGAATCAGGGAATGGTGATTCTACGTGCTATGAAATTTACAGATGATGTTGGTACATTTTTCCTGGCATTTATACGCCCTTTCAAGTTTTCTAGTCCAATTGCTTCTCACTTGCAGCCTCCTCGTTTCCGTCTTGGACGTATCTTACAGTGTAATCAGCTGCAAGACCCAAGCTGATGACACCGCCTGTAATCCAACAACCGTTGATAAACCACCACCAGCAGTCCTTGACGCTCTTCAAGTTGACCCGCTTGATCATGATACCGAGTGTCACCGCTGCTCCACCGACGCTACCGATGAAAAAGGTTGGACCAGCGCCAGCCACGAAGCCAGCAGCGCTCAAGAGACTTAATTGAACAGCGGCCAAGCCCGTCAAGACCTGCTTGGTCTCGGCATCGTGCTTAAGAGCAATACTCTTGATGCCCGCCTTGACGTCATCCTTGATGTCCATGTGGGCGTAGATCATGTCGTACAGAATCGTCCAAGCGACGTTTGAAGTATACAGAAGCGCAGCAGCTGTCAACGCTGCACTGTTGGACAACAAATCGATTCCGAGAGCTGGGAAGCCCATCATCGCACCCCAAGAAAAGGTCAGGCCTAGTACGGCCTGAGGGTAGTAGGTGACCCGCTTGGCCAGGGGATAAGACACAACGAAGAGCAGGCTCGGGATGCCGTAGAAGAGACAGGACGTGGGAAATTGAACCAGGATACCCAGACCAGCCAGGAGCTGGGCACCGGTGAACGCGAAACCTTTGAAGGGTGTAATGGCGCCTCGCGCGATGGGTCGGAACTTGGTTCTGGTGACGTGTGGATCGAGGTTACGATCCCACAGATCATTAATGCTGCAGCCTGCGCCCCGCATGATGAGAGCTCCCGAGAAGAATAGAAGCGAAGTGCCAATGACGGAGCCCGGAGATGCCATGGGCATGGCCATTGGTGCGGCCATCAGAGTTGAGAAGAGACAGGGGAAGAAGAGATAGTAAGTGCCCGCCGGCTTATCGATGCGGGTAAGTTCTGCGTACGGGACCCATGATGCGGGCAAGTAAGAAATGATACCGGTCTCGGGTGGCGAGTACACGGCTTCGGGCGATGCTGGTTCGGGAGTGTCTGGAGCAATGGCTGTGGTGAGGCGTTGCGTTGAAGTGTGGAGAGTTGTCTGTTGTTGGCGAGCTGAGCTCCGAAGAATGAGGTTTGTGCTAGGCTTGCGGTGCGCCTGCAAGCCCAGCCGAGAATGTACTGCCGCTGATAATAACCTCGTTGTTCCCGTGGAAGGACTGCATGCCGCCTTCAAGGGGCCTCTTAGCAAGCTGACCTGCCTCATTTCAAGGAACTGTCGCTATGTTAGTCTGATTATCATATTGAGTAATTGGGGTCCAAGTATACAAGCCAATGGGTCAGCTGTAGGTATACGGACGGAAACTGAAAAACGAGTCGGCTTCCCAACGGTGTAGTATCTACGTTATGAAAAACAATGAAAACTGAGCCATACATGAAGCTCTGATGCTGGGTATGCTGTAATATGCAAGGGTGCCAGCTCGCTCAACTTTGATCAATATGGCAAGTACGAATAGACCTACTGCATTGACTGGTGCAAGCTTCAGAGGCAGGAGCCAGTGAATATAAGACAAGTGAAAGTCTCCACCAAGGAAGAGTAAAAGAAAGCTACAGACTTACCAACAATCGATACGAAGCTCTACCAAAATCCAGAAGTGCTCCCTTTGACTTTTTTCCAGTCGTCACCGAGAGAACCGAAATTTGAGAGCCTTCGTCAAAGGGTCCCGAGCTTAAGTGCGGTCCGTGCTCATGATCCTTGGGTGCCAAGGTACTTGAAGATTTGCAGACGTTGATTGGCTGCGCATTTGGCTTTCCTGTCCCCCCATCAGCTTTGAACCTTGAATCGGTCAGCCTTGCCCGACGCCACTTTTCGTTTACGCGACACGCCTTCCAACCTTGGATCGCATCGCCGTTTGTCGCGTAGATCACAAGTTGACTACTTCGCCCATACTCCCTCGTTGTTTACCGGCTCGACGCGCCGTAAGCCGTCCTAGATACGCCTGAGAATTCATACACACGCTGCGCATCCGGACTGACGCGTTCACGATCGCATGTTGATGGGATCCCCCACCCCACGGTAGTGAACATCGGCCGTCAAGATGCCACCACCTTCGCATCCCCAGGCCAAGTTCGATCCGATTCCCCCACACTTGGACCTCCATGCGCTGGTCGACCATACACCGAATTTCGAATGGGTTCTTCGAATCTCAACCGCTCAGATCCAGGGACTAGGCCCCCAGGAGTTCGAAAGGCTGGTTCAACTACAAGTCATTCAAGGCGGGAAGCCCTTGGTGATTGAGAAATGGAATGATGTTCTCCCTCAGTGGCTTTTCAGTGGAGAGTGGATGGAGAAGACATACGATAAGAAGCGTGAGTGAGGCTGTCTCCAGCTTGGTTGTGATAACAGCTGACTTTGGGCCAGAGGAAAATGTTCGCGACATTACCGGCCAGACGGAAATACCGATGACCACAGGGCACTACATGAGAGCCATGAAGCAGCTCACCGACCAATGGACTCCGAGCAATTATCGAGACGAGAGAAGGCAACGCCTTTACCTGAAAGATATCGATTGTCCGCCCGAATGGCACGAACACCTGCAGAAGGTTATTCCTCCCAATCTGTTTTACATGAACGGAAACGTCACACACGAAGGAGCAGCAGACCCTCGAGCCGACGATGTCTTTCGCGGCTTTGGCGATAGAACAAAGGTGGCACCTGCGGGAGATCTCATGTCAAGCCTGCCCGAGGAGATGCGAGCACAGAATCTCATGTGCTATATCGGACACGAAGGAACTTTCACTCCAGCGCATCGAGAAATGTGCGCCAGTCTCGGACAGAATATCATGGTCGAGGCTTCAGGGAGTGAGAATGGGGAAAAACCAGGAAGCTCGATCTGGTTTATGACGGAGACCAAAGACCGAGAAGTCGTCCGCGAGTACTTCCTTTCTATGCTCGGCCACGACATCGAAATCGAGAAGCACTTTGCCCAGATCAACGCCTGGAAAAAGGCAACCTTCCCCGTTTATATTGTCGAGCAAAAGCCTGGCGATTTCATCCTCATTCCACCTCTAGCCCCCCATCAGGTCTGGAATAGAGGTACGCGCAGCATGAAGGTCGCCTGGAACCGCACCACTGTCGAGACACTGGACATGGCACTTCACGAGGCCCTTCCCAAAGCTCGTCTTGTCTGTCGTGACGAGCAGTACAAGAACAAAGCCATCATATATTATACGCTCAGGAAATACTTCATGCAGATGGTGAAGGCGGAGCAGGACAGCGAGATGGGCATCGTTGGTTTAGGCTCCGAGATCTTTCGATCTTCCTCGCGGTATAAGCAGCTGGCCAAAGATTTCCGCCATCTGTTCTCCCTCTACACTGAGATTCTCGTCGACGAGATGTTTGCAACTAAGGAGAAGAACGTCGAGTACGTCGAGTACGACTCTTGCGTCACCTGCTCGTACTGCAGATCGAACATTTTCAACAGGTTTTTGACCTGCAAGCACTGTGTGCGAACTCTGGTCAACGGAGACGAGGATGCATACGATGTATGTATGGAATGTTACGCCATGGGTCGATCCTGTGTCTGCATCTCCAAACTTCAATGGTGCGAGCAGTGGTCGTGGGAGCAACTGACCGAAAACTACGAGCTCTGGCGGGCAATGGTCATCAAGAATGACGGTTTTGTCGACATGGAGCTATCGCCGCAGCCCCTTGAGATCGCTCGCACTCGGCGAGGCAAGAAGGCCCTCGCCGAAATCTGCCAGGAGGGCTTGCACAGGCGACCTTTCAAAGATATTTCGAGGCTTGACGAGGACAAGCCACTCACCGAGTCCGAACCCGAGCCAGAGCTGGACGACAACGGCAAGCCGAAGAAGAGAAAATACAAGCGTAAGAAGAAGAAGGGAGAACTTCGTCGCTGCCACGTTTGCTGTCACAAGGACTACGCCTACAAGGTGCAAGTATGCTCGAATCCAGAGTGCAAAGAAGGCTACTGCTATGGCGTGCTCTACCGTGCATTTGATCAGATGCCGCAGACGGTGCAGGAGAACGAAAATTGGCTTTGCCCAAAGTGCCTTGGCATCTGCAATTGCGGCGCATGCCGCCGTGCCGAAAGTGGTATCCCTTACACGCCAAAGAATACCCTTCTAGGTCATGATACCCGAGCCATTGCCGATGACAGAAGTGTTGAGGCTCTCGTCGACTTCCGGGTGCATAACTTGAACTGGCTCAAGACAGCTGGCGAAGAAGGTCGCAGCACGAACAGCAAACGTATGAAGGAGCTAAGGGAGAAGGCCGATACTGCAAAGGCTCAAGAGAATGCCTCTCTGACTGCCGAAGACATCGCTAACGGCGCTCACGGCGCTAACAGCCCTGCCAAGTCTGTGGAGGGTGGTATGAACGGATACGGTGACCAAAGCCATACCCTTGGTGGGCAGGACGAACATCAAGCCCAGGACCAGAGCGATCTGAGCGCAAATCGAGACATGTCACGGATGGATATTGATCAGTCTGCTCCCTTGGCCGATATGAGTATGGACGCCGAATGGGACCAGACAGCGTACCCAGATCCTTTGGGCATGGATGGTCAGCGCATGTTCGGCATGGGCTACTACGAGCAAAGTGGTCCCGATCAGATCCTCTTCGACCCCTTCCAAATGCCTTCACCTGACGCGATGGTGTTTGATGAGGAGGCCGAGTTTGTCAAGAACATGTTGCGGGCGCAGAAGCGGAAGGCAAAACACGAGAATGACCATGATCCAGACTTCAATGGTCCCAAGAGCCACACCAGGAAGAAGTCAAAGAAAGACGACAGTGCTGATGAATCCGCCATGGATCCAGCGTTATTCGGTTCAGCGCTATACGCTACTGCAGGCGCGGCATCCGACGCTGTTGAAGGTGGAAATGGCGAACTAGCCGGCGTGAGCGTTGGTCCTGAGGAGGAAGCCTCAGTCCAGTTGGAGAGAGAGGCAGTACAGGCAGGCAACGCAGGCAACGCAGGCAACGCAGCACGACGCGGGCCTCCGGCGCCTCAATTTCCGGCAAATGTTCCTTCGTTGCGACATGCAAGGCCTAGAGCGTCTTATGCTGAGCCAGAAGAGCCAATGATCGACGATCCTGATGATATGGTGCCAGCTTTCAAGCAGAGGCCGCCGGTCCAAAACGATGAGCCACAGACGGGCGATGGCAGCACTGATCCCCTGGACCTGGCTTCTGACGCCATACGTGCTCTCATCCAGAAGGGGACTGATGCTGCAGCCGCCAACGCCGCCGCTGCCGAAAGCGAAACTCCCAGGGTGCCGAAGAGGCGAGGCAGGCCGCCGCGGAGCGTGAATTCGACGACGGCTTCGGTTACAAGGGTCGATACTGTTCAGAAACCGTCTCCAGCGGATCTTGCAGCAAGGAATGCAGCAAAGAAACGTGAAGAACGGGCATCGCGACGATCCGGCTTGGGCCGTGTTGTGACGATAGATGGAGCCAGCTCATTCAATCCTAGAAATAAGGGTCACTCTTTCAGCGACGACGACGACGATGCAGATGACGCAAACGCGGCTCACGATGTGACTGAAGCTGAACTCGAAGCTCAACTGGACCGAGAGTTGGCTGGAGAGGGTCCGTCTCAGAATGCTGCAGTCAACTCTATCGAGACCGTAACGACGGAGGCAACTACAACTGCACAACCACTCAAGAGGCGCCGCGGTCGACCACCCAAGAACAAGACTGCCGCTGCAGAGACGGAACCCGCTGATCGGTCACCGCCCCCACCCCCTGCGGGTGCGACAAACATGATGTCGATGGCAGCTCGAGTTGCAGCTCGTGGAGGAAAGTTCAAGATTACTTCGCGTAAGTCGCGAGATGCGAGTGCTAACGAGACTCCGACTCGGACCCAAGCCTCTTCCGAGGGGCCTTCCATCGACCGCAGCGAGCAGCAAGCCAAGATCGTGCCTTCTATTGAGGAGGCAATTAAACCAGCAAAGGAGACGAGTAGAGCAGCTTTGAGAGAACCAAGTGTAGATCTCACTCCTCCGCCGCCAGGCGCCTCGAGAGAGAGACAGTCGAGTTCTGATCACACTCCTCCGCCTCCAGGTGCAGTCGGTCGACGCTGGAGAAAGTCTGGCGAAAACCAGTCGGACTTTGTTGCTCGGGTGGCGTCGCCATCCTCTGCGTCGTCTTCTGACTCGGGCATTCCGGCTGACCCTCCGCCTCCTGTACGCCGAGGTAGGCCTTCGGGTGGTCTTACCGTTGTGAGAATCGGCTCCGAGTCGGAATCTGAGAGTGAGATTTCATCTTCTTCCGAGTCGGAAAGCGGTCTCGATGACGTGGAGCCTGGCAGATTGCGAGGGGGGTCTTCCCGGGGCAGAGGTAGCAGGGGACGGGGCCGTGGAAGGCCCCGTGGAAGGGGCCGTGGTCGTGGACGAGGTTTTTGAGGGAAGATGGCGAGTAAATGAGGCTGCGATACCACTCAGGACTTACAAATACTTCCCACCCCTTTTTTTCTACCGGAAATTGGGATCATGTCTGGCGTTTGGGCAGGCGGGCGTTTTTTTTTTTTTTTTTTTTGGCCAGATATAGTGTCACATCATACCCAGAATACCCAGACCGAGCTGAATCGATATGCTTCTCTGGTTGAGCATCTTTTAGCGGTCTAGTTAGGACAAAATATAACCAAGACGTAGTTTTTTTTTTGCAAAGTTTAACTCTGAGTAAATGTCGCAAAAATGACGCCGTTAATTGTGGGCAGCAAGTAACGCCATATACAACACCCTGTTGATACTGAACGATTAGGTGCTTTTGATTAGGACGCCGTTTCTCACATCCATGACACACAGTGACAAAGGTTCATAAAGACCATTTTTACGAAGTTTGGGTCACGAAGGTATCTCTATTCAGCTTCTCTTTTCTGCCGTATTACTCGAACAAACTTTTGCGCCCCATCCTCGAGTTGTAGGAGCCTCGCTCACTCTGCTGAAATGCCAAATTACCAAACACCCCTTACCCCTCCCCCCTCAAGCCACACATGATGTCAAAGTCATCACAGGATTCAACACTTTTACTCGGCAGACGCTCTGGCCAGTGCCTCGTGCAAGTGCGGCGGGAAGCGGTAACGCAGCTGCGAGGTGTAAGTGGTGAGGTCGAGCGTCATCTGCTTCATCTGCTCGACCATCATGCGGCGAGTGCCCTCGTTGCCGCTGAACTGGCCACCGGTGAGCTGGTCGCGCTGGCGCGTGCAGCAGATGATGGTCCACATGAGCAGATTCGGCACGTTGATGGAAACGGGCTGGGAGAGGCCGGAGAACTTTGCGGCGTAGGCGCGGATGATGCTCGGGTCACCGCTGGCATCGAGTGGGAGAATCTCGAGGCCACGAATTTTCTAGAGTGTAAAGTTAGTCATCAATTCGCAGCGGCGGGGGTGATAGTGTGTAATGATGTGTCACTTACGTCCAGACACTGAGCCCACTGGCCGGCCTCGACAAAGGACTTGATGGTGCTCATCTCAAGCAGGACACGGCAGGCGACCCTGTTCTGCTCCTGGATCTTGCGGTGAAACATGGCATCGCGCTCATACATGGACATCATCGTACGGGCGAGCTCCACGGGGTCGTCGATGGATGCCAGACTCAGGCTGCTGCCCGTCTCGGCCTCTTGGCCGGCGGCGCGAGGCTTGACGGGCATGAGACGCATGGGGTCCTCGCCGATCTCGAGAGAGATGGCCTCGCTGAGTGCACGACTGACAATGGAGACAACGGTATCGTACTCGCCAGCCAGGTGGTACAGGAGGACCGAATCGGTTGTGCGGCCGTTCTCGTCGGCGAAGCTGGCGGCCTGGACCGTGACGGTATTGATGAAATCATTCTCCTCCGTCAGACCAATCAAGGAGCCGCGCTCCTCGATGATGCCGCGTATCCGCTGACCATCGGGGCGGATGTCACCGATGAGCTTGCTGAACTCACGCGTCTCGAGCACGAGCTCGCGCAGAGCCTCCCAGCAGAGGTTAGCATGACGACGGCCGGCCTCGCCAGACAAGTCCATATTGAGGCAAATGAGGGTGAGATAGTCAACAGCCGACACAACGTCGGCTGCTCTGAAATCCCTGGTGTAATAGCCAATCATCCTGCCAAAGTTGATCTGAACCGAATCCTTGACGTTCAAGCTACGCAGATCGTTGGAGGCGCTGAAGGGGTCGGAAGGTCGGAGAAGGCCGTAGTACTCGAGAGCAATGGCGAAGTGGACTGCGTCGACGTAGGAAAAGGGGTAAAGATACGCAATAGCCTCTTCGAACATGCCTGACAGCACCTGGAGGTAGAAGAACATGCCAAAACTGCCGCTGTTGTCTTCCGCAGAGTTCTTGGGGAAGTGCTTGGCTCCGATTTCCTTGATACTTGACTGGAGTTCAGAAAGACCATAGGCCTCGGTAGCCACCTCAACAGAACGGTCGCCTTCTCTGGCAAGGTTGAATTGAAGCCATATCCAGTCATTGATGTCCGTGTTGAGGCCGTCCAGACTCCGGTTGTTCAGGTCACAGCGGCCAATAATCTTGTAACACGCCATCCGGAAGGGGTCGATTGAGTTGTCAGGGGCATTGCGCACACGTTGGGTATACTCCGCGTTGCATCTGTCCTGCAACGTCCGCTTCAAGCGGCGGTCTTCATTAGAGGCGTAGCCGTTGAGGTAGCTCTGGAACGTGCGGTCGATGCTGCGGAATTGATTGCTGTTATCATTCACATACTTCGCTGCCTCGCTGACGTGACCAGAGCGGAGCAGGTAGAAGACAATTGCCCAGACATATTCACCACCAGTTTGCTGAAGCTCCGTGTTGTCAGGCACCAGATCTTTTCGTGCAGAACGTAATCGGATATAAGCTCTGATCTTGCTGACAATATCGGGACGGCCACCTAGATTAGCTTCGTGGGGGTGTTTTGCGATGAGCCCCTCAACCTCTTGAAGGAATTGCCCCTCGAGGTATCTATTGGCACCATCTAGCAGCCTCTTCCGCATCGATATCGAGTTGGAAGAGTTGGGGGCTTCGTCCAGATACATCTTGGCAAACTGCCGTTCCTTTGCAGTGGCACCATTGATGGTAGTCTCTGCTTCGGGGTCTTCTCCAACGATCTCGCGAACAGCATGGTACGCCTCGACAATATGAGGTGCATATGGGTCCAGAGATCTATGCTCAACATCTGCGAGCTCTGAAAGAATGGGGTAGGGGTGGGCGATGAGACGGGCCTGGTTGAGGTTGCGGACCTTCTCGGAAAGCTTGCTCTGCTTCTCGCGCAGAGATCTATCATCAGAATTGATGTGGCCAGTCAATGAACCGCCATTGTCCGTGGACCGGTCAATGTCTGAGAACTCTGGTTGGTGAGAGCCTATTTTGCTTGCGTTGCCGATGACAGAGCGATGCATGCTTGACTTGCCCAAAACGCTTGCTCTGCCAGAGCGAGCTCCAGTCGCCTGGCTCTTGCTTCGGCGGGAACGGCCAAAGCCACCGGAGACTTCTCTTGTCGACGCGGCGGGTCCGAAAGAAGACTCTTCACGAGCCTTGATACCGAAGTGCTCGTAAATGCGCTTGCGCTGAGCCTCCCACTCCATCGTCACGTTATCCTCCAAGAAGTTGTCAAAGTCGCGGACCGATCTCTCCAAGCCGTCTGCAATCATGCTCATTGTCGTCTTGGTCTGGAGGTTCGCGAGGTACGTCTCGACGTCAATCTCGGCGGGAGAGTAGCCGGAGGGTCTCTCGACACGGCCAGTCTGCAAGTCGAGGGATCCGAGGTCTTTCGCGGCGGTTGAAGGGTCGACGCCGGACGCAGCGAGAAGGTAGTGCGCCCTGCCATCGGATGGACGGTCCTGCGCCTTTGTTCCCAGCTTCTTCAGGCGCTGGCGAAGGTCGCCCAGGCCCAATTGCAGACTAGGGAGGTCCTCCATGCCATTTTCACCGTCTCCCTGCTTCTTGCTTTTGGCGAAGAGGCTATCAAAGTATGCCCCTGAAGGCTGGCCCTGCTGAATTTGGGACTGGTTGTTCGTGTTCTGTTGCGGTTGCTGCGATGAAGGGAAGAGGGAGCCGCCGAGAGTGTTGTTTGTAGTACCCTGGCCGAAGGTCGAGCCCGTCGTTTGCGTCTGGTTTTGGTTTTGTTGGGCGCCGCCAATTGCGCCGAAGAGAGATGGCTTTTGTGCCGTAGATGCTCCCAGTCCGCCCAAACCTCCCAAGCTGAGTCCGCCTGATTGTTGCTGTGGCTGCTGCTGAGGCGCTCCAAAGAGCGAGGATCCTTGTGCCGGTTGTGTCGTCGTTGATGCGCCGCCGCCAAATAGACCGCCAGTCGTCGCAGGCTTATTCTGATTCAGGTTTCCAAAGAGGCCGCCCGAGGCAGGCGTAGAGCTTGTCTGTTGGTTGGTGGTCGTGTTCTGCTGTCCAAACAGACCCCCTGCTGTGCTGCTCTGTTGCTGGGTTCCGCTGGTCGAGGTTCCCAGACCACCCAGGGTGTTGCTGCCGAAGAGCGACATGTCGTGATGTTCTCGTGGTCGCGTTCAATCGGAGGCGAGATTGGGCGCAACAGTGAAGGGAATGTCGAACGTGTTGTGAATGAACGGACGCGCTCGAGTGCTGGTCAGGCGCGTTTGGAAAAGGAAATTTTGAGGTTTGGGAGAGCTCTTTGCCAGAGCTCCACTGATTGGTGGGGAGCGGCCAGGCAACGGGACCGGGGGATGTTCCCGGTACATGCAGCTGCCGCTAATCCTGGCAAGGAAACACGTACAAGCTACTTGACGAATTCCAAGGTAAGGATTACTCACCGAGCGTCAAGATCGGTGAACTTCGTTTCTTCGAGACCCCTATGCGAGGAGTGGCATCCGCCTTCTGGAATATGCAACTTGTAGCAGTCATCTTTTTCAACATAATAAGCTGCGTCAGTCGTGTATCTGCTTCCCCTGTATTTGGGTGTTTCTCATAAAAGTAGGACCAAAATACATTGGCCGCTGATTATGGATCTCCTAGGCAAGCGAGACATAACACTTACATTACAGATCTTGATTTTCATCCTGAAGCCTTGACTAGACTATGCTTCCAGACTGGAGCCTCAACAATCCCACGTTAGTAATTTTAGCAAATTTTCAGGAAGACTGGGCGAGGCAAATTGGCGTCCCGCAGGATGGGCAGCCTGAATTCGACTAATGAGCTGGGCTCGGCTTGTCTGGTGAATGCGTGACGTCCCTGAGAACTCTCAATGGCCTTCTTGTCATCACTCAGCAACATCGTCCTTAATAATTGACATGTCTCACGAATCTACCTGGCTGAGAACTATAAACTTACCTACTCGAGAGCCGAAGCCCCCTGTGAGATCGTCTGGGAGGTCTTCAGCGAGGTCCTCCGTGAGGAACCATGCTTTAAATCTCCATTATCCAACTATATAGGTAGTGGAATTCGATGGAAATCCAACATGAAACACAGACAGTTTCTTGGGATTTCACTAGCTACTACTGGCACTGGCTATCGTATGCGCTATGCGTCATCATATTTGCTAACATCTGACAAAAGGAAGGTTCTGGACGTAAGTGAGCAATCACGTATAAAGGCCAGATCTTGATTCATTCGTGAGATCAGCCTATTCAGAATTCTGAAGTATTTATGAACATAGAGGGATATGAGTGGTCTATATGAGGCCGTTTGAGAGCATTTCGAACTCCCTGGTGCCTCGAAACAATACGTTGGAGTATGACGTTCATCCACATTGTAAGGAAAGATCTAAGCAGTCCACATTTCGGTCTCTTCTATCTGATGACGACGTCCTTGACTAGCCTCACTGATTTGGCAGCTTTTCTGACCACAGGAACTATTCAATGTCTCCCGGAGCAGTCTCAAGTAGAGCACTCGGTCACCTTAGCGGCCTCAGGTTCAGGTCGTATAATTCGAAAGCCCGTCCTGAATATTCATCAGTCGAAAGGAAACGTGGCCGGGAAGCTTGAGTGGCTAATAGCCTATCACTCCACGACCATGCTTAGCTTCACTGAAGTATAAAAGTTCGAGCCTTGACTCTGCCTTTTGCCTTTTTGCTTTAATTTCGGATTTTTCTCCCCTTTTACTATTCATCTATTCATTTGTCCACAGGAGGGATTTAGCCCTCGTAACTTTGCGCTCCCTACCTTTTAATGTTGACTAGTGATGCAGCCAACTTTTGCTCCCGATCCTGGAAACAGGACTTGATGAGCTTTCAGATTTCTAGGTCAATTCCCGTGGATTTAATGTCCGCACTGCGATGTCGGGCATGATACTCTTCTTACACGAGTCCCGAGCTCTCATCCATCATCCACTGAGCTCTTTTCTGCCTAAGCGGTTTATAGCTTTGATTCTAATATGAGAAGAAGAGCAGGAATATCCTGCCACCAGAGTGTTGGCTCACACGCTCGGTCAGCAAAGTGATTGAGTGAATTGACATGCAGGGGTAACGTCAGCCGTGACCCAGGAACCACGCCGCATAGTCGCATGGTACTCAAGCTTCAAATTCATCGCGAGTTTTGGAGCGGTCTATCAAAGAGGGTAGTCCAGCCTCCCCCAAGAGCTTCCCCAGAACTTATCTTAACAATGGCCGACCCAACACCTCCGAAACCCGCCTCAGCACGGCCACCCATGGTGACCCTCATCTTCACAGCCATATTCCTCCTCTTCTCCGCCGCAGGGTTCTCCTTCATACGTATCCAACCAGGCCACACCCCTTTCGTAAACAATCTCGCCAAGCTGGTCGAGGCGGGCAAACTCCAGGACGGCTCCTCGCGCCTCTGTACCACCTACACCGGCCTCCATGCCATCGACGTGCCGCCGTCGTTCCTCGTCGCGTCCTTCGCCCAGGGCCCGCTGCGTTTAGATCAGGCGGCGAGGCTGCAGCAGATCCATTTCCTGCCCAACTTTCTTCCCCGTTGTGTGTATCTTCAATGTTGAAGCCTATCAGTCTAGGAACCGATGGAGTTTCGTCAGCTTGCAAGTTCTTGGTAGCTTCACTTACCAGAGCAGTGAAAATGATGAGGTTATGAAAGTGCGAAAATGAACTGACATGGACAAATTAGTCACGCCGCGTGGGCAGCTCTGTACCGAACCATCGGAGGCGGCGTCATAATCCCACTCTACCACCTTGCCTACACCCTCATCTCAACAAAGCAGAGCTACCTCGTCTCCGGCGGCGAAGTGCCTCTCCCCTTCGCAAAGGCCCTCTTGCCCGGCAGCCCTACTCATCTAAGTCGGGACAACCGTCGCAATGTACCTGCCCTGGAGCGATCCTCACCTCGCACAGATCGTCATCGCTTTCTGGCAGACAGCAACCCCTCCTCGTCAACGCCGGTATTTGGCCCCTAGCATGCACGTTGTACAAGAAACCGAGCTCCCCAAACCAGTACGGGAAGCCTATGGTACCGAGTAGTACTCGCCGTCTGAACCCCGGAGCCCTCCACCGTACCTATAACGCCACCATGGTCGTATCAGCAGCGTCACACTTCTACATCACCTCCACAAACCCAACCCTGACCTTCATCAACATCTTCTTACCCACAAATGCCATCTCAATGGGCACCGTGTCCATGGGCCTCCACCAGATCTTCCAATAAGACTTCTGGCTCATCTTTGGGTCGTCGAGAATGTGGTGCGCACCGCCGTCTAGACGTCCAACGGCAACGCCAGCATGTAAACCTGAAGAAGCTCTTTGGAACTTCATCTTAACGAACAACTGAAGTTTCGTCATAAGGCCGGGTGCGGTGATGGCGGGTATCTGGTGGTGGAGAAAAGAGCGTCAGATCAAGATTGAAGCCCAGTCAGGTCTTGAAGAAAGCCACCTTCACTATAATTTAGAGAGGAAGTGGGATCATTGGACAAGACTTACGCGGTCAGTTAACCCTAATAACTTTGGAGGCTCCAAGACGGCTTTCAAGGAGTTGAAGTTATCCATCACACCCGCCAACCGGCAAAGGAGATAGCCACATTATTTCACGTTACTTCCATGTACCCAAGCTGACAGTATAAATGTACCAATGTCGACATCATTCCCCGACCTAGACCGATAATGTCTGCCTCTTATGTAAAATAGTTGTGAAAAGCACCCCTCGCTATATATAATACTCGACACAAACATCTCGGTCCTCTAGACCGCGTCTGCTACCTCGGCAGAGCTACATGCATCGAGACTCCTCGCGGTACTCCAACGGATAAAAATAACAAAGTGAACTATCAATAATGATTGGGACAGAACATGCCCAGTTAGGTGGCTTACTGGTTCCGTGAAGAACTTCTTTCCGTGCCGGCGCTGCGCGACGTCCAAGTCCTTAACCCATACCCAAAAACGGCACGGCATTCCTTGGCCGTGCCGGTCATCTCAACCCCGCCTACTCGCTGTAGGCAGGTGGCGAACTCTGTTCCACATGTCCCCCGCAGAATACCAACTCCGTTTCTCCCTTTTAGACCCGAAAAAACCGAACAAGGCCAGCCGTCTGACCTAATGCGTGACGTATTTGGCTTTAAGCAAGTCGAAATGATCTAAAGGACCTCAACCACACGGTCCTGAACGTTCCTTACAATCTCCGGAACCTGGTCGTCGACCTTGGCAATAGATCCAAGCATGGACCGGGCCGCGGCAAAGTAGTGAGGATAACGGCTGTACAACATAGCAGCCAGAATACATGTAAGAAGGGGAATCTATTACAAGTCAGTTTCTGGCTTATGTATTGGAGATCGTGCGAGGAGCTTACCCAAATGAACCAAAGGTTCTTGTCGCTGCGCATGCCCTTGAACTTGGCCTCATGAGCCCGTAGGAAGTTTTGTTGCTGTTCCTTTGTGATGGCACTCTTCCGCCCAATTCTGAGTACGCTTGGCACGGGTGCCGTGCTTGACGATGCTTCCGCTACCTCAGTCGTCTGGGTGTCGTAAATGCTTGCACACTTCATGTCGGCGGCAGCCTCAGCAGCAGCCCCAAGAGCGGCAGCCTGCTTCTTGTCAAGTTCGTCTTGTGGGAAAATTTCATCATAGGCCGGCGGCGGTGCCGAGTTGTTATTGGTGTTCCTGAACGATGACAGATCCCACCACCTTCCGTCCATCGGCCTGGGTGTCTCCTCGTCTGCCGAACCAGGCCTTGAGCCGGACATGCCAGGCATAAGCGAAGTAACCCTGCCCATGAGAGGGTTCTGCTGAAGGTAGGCATGGTAGTCGGGGAGCATTGGCATCCTAGGTAGGGCAGGCATTTGCGGAAGGTTAGGGAAGTGCACTGCCATGGCTTGCTGGAACTGCTGAATTTGGGCAGAGAATTGGTCCCTGACGGCCGAGGCAATAGCTGTGGTGGGCGACGCAAGTCCTGGTTGAATCTCGTCTTGGCCACGTTGGAGGATGCTCTGTCTATCGGGACGTGGGGTGAAGGCATGACTGCTTGATCGGCGGCGCATATTCAGCCACGTGTCTTCCTCTTCCTGTTCGTCGTCCTCGTAATCTCCCGATGAGTACTCGGCGCTCTCTTCGCCGTCATCTGCCGACTCCGACTCACTGGACATGCCCAGCGGATCCCATAGCGATCTCAGGGACGCGGCACTGCTTGCTCTGCTGTGCAATGAGCCACCACTCCTAGAGCGAATGTGACGTTCGCAGCGACGGATATGATCAATGACCTTGCGTGAGCGGGCAACGTCAGCGGGGCGAAGTCCCGACAGACTTCGGATCGTGGGATCAGCGCCTGCTTGCATCAATCTGCGCACGATTGACTCATGGTCATTCATTGCTGCTAGATGCATAGGAGTGAAGCCACCCTTATCCCGCAAGTCTGGATTAGCACCGCGCGCCAACAATCCAGCAATGAAGCGGTGATATCCCAAGGCACATCCCATGTGCAACATCGTTTGGCCAGTGGATCTTCTCAAATCCAGCCTGGACATCCTAGGGTTGTCGTCGAGGTCGATAAGCTCCAAGCACTTCAAAAGTTGCGACTCGGTGCTCATGTTGAAGGTACTTCCGCCAAAGCCGCCGACGTTACCTGAGGGGCCAGAAGCTCCCCAACTTGAATCACCCTGGCCGATAATGCGTTGAGCAAGCTCTTTAACATCAACCATCTGTCCAGACATTTTGTGACCCAGGATCGAAAGGGCTGTGCGAATGAGCTTCTCTTCGTCATCGTCGACATACTTGAACATTTGGTTTTGTTTAGATAAAGCGGGGAACGGCGGTCCGGCTTGCGTTTGGCTTTGCTTGAAAGTAACAAGGACAGGTCCAGAGACAGGCGAGGGAGGCAGAAGACAGACCAGGGATGATTCGCCCCAGAATGTAGTTGTGGTGGCCTTCTGGTCGCCAAACAAAACCTCGAGACCCTGGTAGAAGCTGGCTCCGAGGATGGTAACCTCGATGCCACCGGACTTTGGACCTTCGTTCGGAATGATCTTGTGGATAGTCGGCTGTGGTCTCGCTGGAGCGATGGCGTTCGTTGGCATGTAGGACATCGCGTTGAACTGGTTTTGTGACACCGCGTTCACGCCGTTACGCAGTCCACTGGGGCTTGCTGCGCGGCTCTGGTGTGCCGACGCGGGTGCCGAGAACATCGGCATCGCAACATTATCCATGCTAGCCGAGCGGTTGGCATTGGTAAACAGCGTCTGGTCGTTGCTGTTGGGCGTCGGCGGGCCGGTGGCGTATGCTTGAGGCATGGGCGGCGGGCCACCGTTCTGAACGAATACAGCGTCAGGAGGGGTCTGGAAGCTGGTCAGGTTGGGCGTAAATGGTGATGTCGATGCAGAGGCAGCCGCGGGTACTGAATTGGGCATCTGGGTAGGAGGGGGCGTTGTGTCTAGGCGCGTCATTGCCATTCCTATCGGTACCCTAGATCCAGTGCTGGCCTTGCGCTTCTTCGTCTGAGGCCCGCCATGCGCATTCGGAGACTGCGGTCGCGATAATGAACGAGGGGTGGTGGTCGGAGCCGGGGGGGCTGGCGCTTTAGTCGTTGTGTTTGCAACAGCGAATTGAGGGGCGGAGTTGCGATGCATGTTTTGTAAGTCCGAGCTAGAATGGGACAGTCGGAAAGGTGTTCCACCGGAGCTGAGCGGACTGGATTCCATCGGAGCGTTCATCACGGGTACCAAATTGCTGCTGTTGGTATCAGGGGCTTGGGCTGCAGGTGGATTCAGCTGCTGTGGAATCGGGTGCGTCTTGTGATCGTCAGTGATCATGATGGATTGAGACATCTCCTGTGCCACAACCCGATCTTGCCAGTCCTTGATGGTGAAGATGACCTGGAATCCCAGCTTCTCGGCATGGTGCCTGCAGTAGCAAGCGATTCTCATAGGTGCATCGACTTGCATGGCACCAGGGGGAGCCACTGGCTCCGGCCGCCCTGTCACTGTAGAGTCTGATACGACGCCGTTGGGTGTCTGCCATTCCTTCACTTCTTGTGTGTTGAAGACAATCACCCGTCTGGTCTCATCGCGATTCCACATCTCCTCCTCCTCGACCTTCTTGATCTTCTTCCTTGCAGCCCGTTTACGCTCACGGGTAATACAGCCGGCGCAGATGCGCACTTCGCCTCCGTTTTGCGGCTTGTTCTCCTCGTCATCCTCGTCGCTGACAGATCGGGCGTTCATGACGGGGCTGTGAGTGGCGGCTGCGGCACGCTGGAAGGCCTTGCGCTTGTTGTCCTCGTTTTGCATCGCACTAGTGCAGACGAGCATGGTGTACAGTTCCAGCATGTCGGGTGTCCGTTCGGCTGGTGGCTTCGCTAGTAGCTTTGGCTTCGAGATGGTGTGCACTGGCAGGTGCAGGCGCTTGATACCAGGCGGTAGCGGGAAAAGCGTCAATTTGATGGGAATTTGCGTCTCAACGCGTGACTTGGAGGGTGTCGGGTGAATCGTCAACCGACAGCCACGGCCGAGGAAATCGAAATTCGGCTGAGTGAAAATTGGCATCTGCTGGGCCATCGACACCGGGAGACCATCGTGTTGGTGATATTGCTGTGGCATGGGCATGTTGGCCACCATCTGGTGCGTCGCGGGATCCAGCTTGCCTGGCCAGAAGCCTTGGGGATTCATGGCACCCATTGCGGCGGCATTGAAGTCTGGTGCGCCAGGTGAGGGTGAGCTGTTGAAGAAGGCTGATGGGGATGCCTCGTGGCTGGTTATCATGTTCTGGGACATTGGAGAGCATTCTCTCGAATTGGTCATCTTCAATCCATTCATAGGTTGCGATATGGAGTATTGCTGGGTCGCGTTAGCTGGGCTCTGCAGTGTCCCACGGGATCCCACTCACTGAGTTCCGCTTGCCGTGGTTTGCGGTTCTGGGATTGCCCGGAGCGATCGTCTTTGGCGGTCCATTCGTGTGGATGGTTGGCATTTCTGGTGATTCCATGCTCATCGCGCCAGCTGCGTTAGGACTACTCGACGCACTCTCAAAGTCAAACGACTCATCCATAAATTTGTCATCGTTCAAGTCGAGGCCGTCGGGGAGCGTCGCGTCGGCATTTGCGCCGAACATGAAGATATTGTCTTCTGGACGACCAACAAAGGCCGAGGCGCCCCAGTCGTGCTTGACGTCGGCTCCATCGGTCATCATTACGTCGGCGGTCTTCCCTGAGGCGGAGCTGGCTGTCCTTTTCGAGGACGCAGAGTCGGATGAAGAATCTCGGAACGAGTCGATGAGGGAGTCGGGCGAGCCAGCGGCTACTGTGCCGGTGGCCAGCAGGGTGGCCTGGGGTTCGAGCGACTTTGCTTCGTGAAGGGATTGTGGGAAATCGGATAATTTAAGGGTGTCGTGGGCGTTTAGGTCGAAATTTGTCGGCAAGGGACTCGAGTCACCGAACGGGTTGTTCTCGTCGTATTCCAAGAACTCGTTGAATTCGCCGGTGGGGGACATTCCCGGAACGGCTGGCATAGGGCTGGCACCGATAGCGGCACCAGCAGTCGTCATACCTTGGCCAGCAACAGTGATAATGGATGGAAGATGTGTTGTGCAAGACCAAACGACGACGACGACGACAACGACGACGGCGACGACGGCGGAGATGGCGACTAAAGGGGAGGAGGTGAAAGCTCGGTCTGGGGATGTTGTGGGGAAAAGGGCGTCTCGTGGTAAAGTGGTGTAAGGTAGGCCAGGCGGTGGAGTGGGGGCCCACCGTCCAGTGTGTCCCTCTAATGCGAGTCCGGCCCGGGTTTGCGCTGGGCGAGGTAAGTTTGTGTTTGATTGTCGCACTGGGCTGGGCCGGGATGTGCGGCGGAAACACGGTGTGACCTGTTGCTGACGAGCGGCCGTCGGGGCAATTGGGTAGTAATGGTCGGAGGTTGAGCGTTCGGAGGGCCCTGCAAGTCCTTCTCTTGTCTGTACGGTGCGGAGCTGGAAGACGTAGCGGATAGGGTATCTATTCTAAGAGCACATTGCTGCGACGCCGGGGAACGCGAATGTTTCTTGTTTTCTCAATCGTCTTTTCTTTTCTTCTCGCTGGCTTCCTGTCGGGGTGGTTGGAGTGAAAGTAGCTAGGTTGTTTCTTCCTCTTTCTCTCAGGTTATGCTCCGGTCTAGGAAGGGGAGGGGAGCGACAATGTTAGGCAGGCGGCAGGCCAGGTTACGATGAGCAGAGGGAGAAAAATATGGTCGGTGAAAACTAAGAAAGAAGGCGACGGGAGGGCGGAAATTGTATGCCCAGGAATCGGAGTCTGCGCTGGTGCGTGTACGTACGTGCGGGCAGCTCCAGAACGTCCAAGTCGAGGCGGTAACAATGTCTCAAAAGCGGCCAGTCCCTTGGAAAGCGGTGACTCGAAATTGGGCTGGGCAAAGTGAAGTGGACAGGGGGATGGATATGTGAAGGGCGATGCAAATCGGGGTGCAGATAGAATGAAGCCAATCAATAAAGCCAACGCCTGTCGTTCCAGTGCTGTGTGTCCAGAGTCCAGACCGTTGCAAGAAGAACGAGGAGAAGAAGGAGAAGAAGAAGATGAGGATGAACAGCAACAACAACAGCAACAACAAGCAGACCAAGAGCACGACCAGACGGGCGGATGGATGTCAGCGATGACAACAGGCGGCTGTCGACCGGTATTGTGTGACCCTGATGAACGAGCGCCGGCCCCCGGTGACCGGAGACGACTGAGGCTACAACTTTCGCTGGATTTGCAGGCGACACAGGATGATGCTGAAGGGTTGCAATGGTCGGAGTAAGCACCGAGCCACTGGCACTGGTAGGAAACTACAATGGCAGCACACAGAGAGGTATGGGCACAGACGCAGAAACGACGACAAAAGCACAGTTAATGGTGAAATGGAGCAAATTGTGGACCGAGTGAGTTTTGATCGTTTGGTGATGTGCAGGCCGGTGTGCGGGCCTGCGGGCGTGTGTGGTTGTGTGCTGTTTCTGTGTGCGTCCAAGTTGCAGCATGTAAGGCGAGGTGAAGGCAAGTACCTAAGATAGCAGAGGCGTGGCTGGATCGTTTGTAGTACTTTGTATGTATCCCTAAGAGCTGAGGAAGTACCCTACTTGGTTCAATCTGTCCAATGGCTTATCTGGCTCAGGTGTCCAATAGAGCCTGAGGCAAATTGCGGCGAAAAGGTATAAAGACGGGAGGTATTTTCAGTCAATCTTCGGACTAAACGAGTACGATGAGGATCGGTCTGAAGCTTGTTCGCCATTGAGCCGTCTCATTCTCCGAGACGCGCTCGCTGGCTGTACGTGGGCGGGAGCCAATCTGAGGTTTGAGGTGAAAAAATGGTGGTGTGTGCCGTGTCATTCTCTCAGAGCGTCCTCGTCGATAATACCTGGCCGTGCTGGCCTTAGATAGTAAGGGTCACTCTGTATATCCGTACAGGTGGAGGTGGCAGGGACGGAAGAGGCATCGACGCTGGTAGGTAGGCAAATATGCCTATCTAGGTACCTCTGGGAATGGGAGCATGATAACCAAAGTGGTTGTATCTTGTGCGAATTTCCATTGCTGAGAATGCCATGTATCCGTATGGATGGATACATATCCGTCCTCTGTGCTCCAGTTGCGTTTTGCAGCTGGCGTTGTGGCGTCGGATGCCCAGTGCTCAAGCTTCCTGTTTGGGCCTGATACTCACAAAGGTAGCCGCACCTTGAGCACGCTAGATTCATCGAACTTACCTGCCGGTCTGCTTGGAGCAGAAACTGACTGGCGGCCTGTGCTCTTGCCGCGCTTGCGGCCATGGCTCTCCAGTCTCTGTGCCTCTGCATTGGATATCAGTGTCCGTTCTGTCGTGTAATTATCCGGAATCTCAGTATCTGTATCCATCCTCGTGCGTATGTGCCTGTGCCTGCCTACCTTGGCCGGGTGACAACGCAACAGCAAAACAATCTCGCCTATTTCCTCTCGTCCCTTTCGACTTGCGTCTGCATTGGCAATAGGTCCACAGGCTGAGTGTGGATGGATTGGATGTGATTACAAGTACGGATAGGTGGAGGAACAATGTATCCGCAAAGTGTGCAGTCGAATTGCAAAAGGTTGATGAGGCGTGGAAATTGCTGGGGTCCATAAAAAAAAACTCTAAGGACATCCCGACTGAGGTGAGTATTGGAGATACAGGTACGTATCGCTTGGGTCGGCCGTGTGTCTGCGACGGAAGACTTACGCGAACGCACCGTGTGGCACCTGCGCCACGCGCCGCCAAGACAGTTGGCAGCCCTCTCCGAGAACTCCACCCGGTGCCCTGAGTCCACTCAAGCCACTCACCTCTTGCCCAATGAGAGACTTGCATGGCGACCGTCCCTTGCTAAGGCCTGGACACAGTGTGAGATTCTTCCATTCTTTCTGTCGACCCTTGAGACATTCTCGCTCGCATCCCGCGTCGCCCGATCCCTTGGCCGTACCGACCTCCCTCCTCGGCCTCCCACCACCCACTACCCACCAGTGCCACCACCCACCCACCTTGCAAAGAATGACTGATAAGCAGACCAGGGCACCAGCACATCAATCATCACCTCCCAACGCCAGCGCAGGGCAGCACAGCTAAAACATGCCCGTCCCGACAGCCCCTCGGTACTGACGCGCAGAACGGATGCCCCGTAAATTATGACATTACCCTGCGAGATGAGCCTTCTGGTCTTCCACGTTAGGTACTCTTATTCCTACGAATGAGTCCTCACCCTGCGCAGCAATTCTGACCACCCGCCTCGAAACCCACTTCAGCCCAGATAGAGCCACATTCCTCGGGGCCTGCTCCCCCCCATTCCACTGTTTCTCATACCGGTAGGGCCCAAAGGCCCTTCCAGGTTGCTTCCAGGTTCTTGAACCCTCGATACCCTGGGCCGCTCCTGGTGGCTCAGGCTCCAGTCCCTAACCTGCCGCCAGGATGCCAATGCACCGGCGATGCAGAGTTGCAGTGCCGCCGCCTTCCTTGCCTCACCTCACTCGTCACTCTCACAACTCGGCCTTGCCCCGCATCCATAACCAACGTCAGTCTTCATCATCTTGCAGGCAGTACAGAAAATAACAGATTACTTGATGCTGAAGCAACTTGGCCTTCCAAGTCCGGATACGATCTTGGTCCTGTTCGTATTTTGTACGCGTCCCTTGTCTCTCTGCCTGGGCCCATCTCCACCCACAATACGCTTCTGGTCAAGTCTCGTGATACGCAACGGACGGCAGGTCCTGGGAGACTCCCTGAGTCTTTTGCTCACTTTTCCATAATGTGAGCTACCAAAACTGGACTGTGGTCAATTCACCGTGTGCCCGCACATTGGACGAAAACAGTAACCAGATCCTCTGTCTTGGAGTCGAGCTACGCCCACCCAGACCGGTGCCGCGGGAAACTTAGTCTCTCACGGACTCTTGTCATCACCTCAACACGTCGCCCGGCTCGTCTCAGGACGTCAGCGCTTACCTGTTGCTACAGCTAATGCAGGCGAAGGCCCATGTACCTACCTGCCTCTCTAACGGGACTGTGTAAGGTCATGTCCTAGGTTCCTTCCCGGCCAACCTAAAGTATCGACTCCAAGGCCGAGCGGATCTTACTTGCCTCGTTATGCAGCAATACTACGGATACGCACCTCCCTCAACAAGAGACGGTGCGACCTTGCGGCGCGTCCTAAACCTAGCTCTGGCCGGACCATTCTATCCAAGAAGGCCACTCGGCCTTCGAGAAACCGTCCGATTTTTCTGCCCCGTCCAAGAGAAGCTCTTCCATCTGCCCCAGGCCGGGAAATAAGCTAGCCCATTGGCTCATGTTGTATCATTTGCTCGTCGAAATGCAACGAACTGCTGCTACCCTTCGATGCAAGCCAAATATGGCCACCGTTAGTCGCTTACGGTAATAGATGCAAGAACCGGCGGAAGACGGGTTGGCACGATATCAGCCTGCCGCATTGCTGGCGTCCGATGTCAATCATCCGCCCTTTGATAGGCTCTCGCTTCTCTCAACGTCAGGAACGGGGCCCCGTGGTGAATGCAACCCTTCCCGCAGATGGTCGTCAAATCTGCACCAACAACACAGCCGCCATTACCATCTTTCTCCTAGCTAAGCAATTCAACGAGTCGATCAATTTCTCTTTGTCCGAGTCTGGGCCAGCCCAGCTCAAGCCTTGCCGTCTGAGCGGGATTAGACACCAACCTGCCAGCCTCCCAGGAAATCGAGATGCGACACTTGCTCTTCAGCCCCGACGTCGCTCCGAATCTCGCACAAACGCCTCAATGCCACACCAGACGTTAGCCTTTGCAGTCGTGTGTCAACCGCTTTGGTCCGGCCGGGTCGTACCAAGCGGACTGGACTTGGTGTGCCTGCGCCAGCGAGACGGGGATTGCACAAACTCATTATGTAAAAACCTTGCACTTGCCTACATTGTGCATAAAGCTGGATATCCATCTGACCTTGATCGAAACGTCCTAGACATCACCTGGACGCTGCCAACGGCGGTAACCTAGTCTCCAGCCTAAAGTCAGCTACCACTGAAGAGCACCAATCAGTGGACGGCCTTACACCACCATAATTTGGTTCTGGTGCATTTACACTAGAGGCTTCTCCGATGTGTCTACACTCGCAAATGGTGGACCGAGCAAATCCCGAGTGGCAATCTCTCAGGCAATTAGTCGTCTAATTACGAGTATTCTATCTAGCTAGCTCTATCCCGGCTCTATCAACAGTGGAATGGAGCGTGCGCTCAGTCAAGCTACGAACAAGAGGTATAAGTGTCACTTGAAAGGCCGGTTAACCATGATTCGTGGAGAAGCCGCGATCCCCTTCGTCATCATCTCCAAATACTTTCCTTTTCCTTTCAGTATAGTAGCCCCAGGGTCCAGGGACATGGATTGACAGCGGCTGAAATCCGGAATTCTGTCAGCCCCGTGGATGTCTCACGTCTAAGTCAAAGAACGCTTTTGCAGAAGTCTGCATCACAATGTGCTGCCTCATGGTTTCTGCAATCACCGAGGTGCGGGTGTCTCGTCCGGAAACCGGATTGTGCGACTTGGTAGCTCTGGTGGCGGTGGCGTCTGCACATGTTGCTGATCAGCCACCTTTCTCTGAGAATCTTTGACATGTTCTCCGTCTTCGGGGTCTGAACGTTGTTCCGGTCGACCGGGCCGCTTCGTCCAAGGAGGGGCCGCGCCCGGCTCGTCCGCGCCCGCAGGCTGCGGGCGGATGACTGAGCCGCCGATTCTATAGATGGGCCGGTTTGCTCCTTCCGTTTCGGACTGGGATAGGGACTGTGGTTGGGCCCGCGACTCGGTATCGTAACCCGAACCTGTTGCCGCTTCGATTCCTTGAGACCTAGACCGGCCAAAGGGATACAGTACCCTGCCACGGATCCGGAACGAGGGTCGAGTGTCCTCGGGACCCTCGCCGTCGCCTTCGCCGCTCATAAAAGATATGCCTCTAGACAGCGAGCGTGGAGCGTAGTAGCCGAGCTTGCCAAGCGGAATGCTCAGCCCGTGGACCACCTATTTGAAACTTCATTTTAGTTCTCGGTGGATTAGGAAGTGCGCCACTTACTATACTGCAGACTGCGAGAAACCAAACGACGACTCTGACTATCTCGGGCAGGTGAGCAACATCCGAACGAGGTTCATCGCCCTCATTCAGCGTGTGCAGGAATTCGATAGTGACGTATAGATAAAAGATGGCCGATACTCCAATGGGGCCGAAGAACCCCACGAAGATGGCTTGCTTCACTTGCTCGATCTGGGGTATGAAGCGGTGAATAGCAAAGACAAATGGCAAGCGCCGCAGCAGCAGAACCAAAATGCCCAAGGGGATGAGGCGGTATATCGGAACCACGTTGTTGTGGAGAAACTCGTTCCACGGAATGACTGCACCATACCACATGAAGATGGTGACGTTCAAGAGCATATCAATCGTCGGCTGGAAGGAGTCATCTTCAGTTTCCAAACGGAACCAATCGTCCCATGTAAAGGCGTTGCCGGCAATGAAGCACGCGAGGACGTCATCACTGCCTATCATGCCGCACGTTCCAACGATGAAGAGCGCCAGAGAGATTGCAAAAACCAGGAAGCTCTCTCTGTCGACGTACTTGCGCTTCTCGGCCCATCTCAGCAACGTCTTTGCAAGCCATCCCACGACGGCGCCGTAGATAACGCTGAGAATAATGGTATACCCCCAGGTCTCGCCGAACCACAACCCCATCGCCAAGCCCGCACCTCCAGAGACCTGCTTGCCACCGTCGCCAATGTACTTGATCAGGTACAAGGCGAAGAACAAGAACGGGTACCCCAGGCCGTCGTTGGCGCCAGACTCGCTAATGATGAGGTTCTGCAGCTCCGTGGGGATGTTGTGGTCTGCGAAGCGACCCTTGACGATGACGTTGGAGAGCACCGGATCCGTGGGCGTCACGCAGGCGCCGACCGCGAGCGCGTGCAAAAAGGGGATGCGCGGCACCATGGCCCAGACGAGGAGGGAGGTCGCGAGCCACATGCACGTCATGACGGGCCCGACGAGGAGGGCCATGGGTTTCCACTGCGTGCGGAGGTACCTGCTTGGTAGCTGCACGCCCGCCAAGACGAGCTGCACGCCGAGGACGAGGCGCGAGAAGGCGAGGGTGACGCTCTCGACGTCCTCTTCCGTGCCGGCATATTCCAGCGGTCTGATGAGGTTTGCTGCGGAAGGGGAGAAGGCCACGCCCGCGAGGAGGGATATCACTGGAAAGTGATTTTTTGGTTAGCCGCTTTTGCGCAGGACGAACTGGAAAGGGGGGCAAGGGACGTCTTGCATGGTGATCTGGGCGCGTCTACATCGCGAACCATTCGTCATTGGAGTGTAAACATGGGGGACTTACGGGCTTCGGAGAGGTAGTAGTTCTCCTTGCATAGATATGAGACCAGGCCGAAAAGCGAGACCCAACCACCCAGCAGACCCACGAGGATATTGAAGTTTGTGAGAGCGAGAGTAGGCATCTTCTCGAGCGACTTTCCAGGTTTGCTCAAAAGTCAAGAATACTCAAGCTTTCGCCAAGGTCCCTTAGTCGGTTTGTGAGCCGCCACAGTTTGTGCGAGTACGCGTTGGAGCCCTGCGATCTCGTGTGGGAGATGATCCAATGAGTGCGCAAAGAATTGCGACAAAGTCGGGGGTTGAGTTGGGCAGGCTCTGCCAAGGAGAACCACGAGGGGGATCTCTCGACAACGAAACGACGGTAGGCAAATGGGCGGCGGATCCTTGGAGGATTGGTCTGATTCGGACCCGAAGGAGACGTGGGACCAAAAGGATATTCGTACGGTACGATCCGCGAATTATTCTCAAACAAAAGCACCAAAGACGACTGTCATCGAATCGCGGGGTTCGAGGCGACGAGGAGGAGAGTTGCGGCGCTTGCGTGGCTTGCTGTCATTGGGAAACCAAGAACCAGCGATTGTGGCAATGGATGCTTCTTGCTGCTGCTTGTCTCCGCTTCTCCTACGGTATTTGGCCGTATTGGCGATCGTGCGTGGGAATCTTTCTCTGACAAGAGATGGCGGTCTGCAAGTCTTGGGCGAGGGGAAAGGATTCTGACTGCCCTACGGGTTCCGAAAGTGGTGGATCGGAGGTTGCGATGTAAGGGGGAAGTAGGAAAAAGAAAAGTGGCGGTCTCGGCGAGGGTGCTGTCTGTGGTTCTCGATATCGGGGCGAACGCCGCCGAAGTGGCCCGGCCCTTATTTTTTTTAATCATCACCGCTGGTTAAGCTGGGGAGAGGGGTGGGGGGTCCTGGTCCCCTATGGTCCATGAATGTGGCTAGGTCATCTAGGGTATTGTCGTTGACCCGATGAGGTATGACCCCTTTGAGTAGAGTGAGATGACGGACGCTCAGATTTGCGACGTTGTGGGGTAAGGTTCGGCCGGTTTGCACAGAGGCTACTCGTGCCGCACCGGGCCCTTCCTATTGTACGGAGCGAGACGAAAGGACGAAAGATGTTTACGAGCACATAGACCGCAACTTGTTATGTGCTTGTGTCAGACCTCATGGGAGGTCCGTCAGCGTCAACCAAGTTGTTCATGCCCACCGTTGTCACTTATCTCTGTAAATCTTCCTCGCTGACATGGGGCTTGGCGGTAATCCATGCCTGTCTGGCCCAACCATATAATAATAGTATGGGTTGGACAAGGTGACAGTGAACTAGTTTCTCAGAACTTCAAACCGGTACCGAGAGTCTAGGTTCCTCTCTCCCTTTCCCCCTCTTCTCTTTTACTTTCTCGTATCTCTAGAATCTGGGTTTTAGACTCGAGAGCCCCCAAAAAGCAGTCCACAGACACCCACAGAAATGACAACGTGGAGGTGTGGAAAGGAGGGAGCACCGAGAAGAATACCCTAATCACATTAGCTCGACGAGAAAAAAAACTCATCATGAGTTAGAATGGTCTCACAACCGCCACCGTGCTTGTGAGACAAGTTTTCCAGACCACCGCATTGACCCATCCGGCCGCAGAGGCAACGGATGATGCGCCAAAGCTAGAGATATTCTGCCCTTGGACAAGGCAGAGAATCGGCGTATTGAGACAGAGCTGCGGATACTTTCGTAAGTAACCCAAGGTGGTATGTTCCAGGGTCCAAGAGAGGGAGGGATCTTTCTCGAGGGAAAAGTCAGGTTTAAAAGAGGTTCTCTGAGTCTGAGTCTGAGCATGGATACCTGCCGTATTTGGGACGTGAAAATTAAACAATAGACAATCCGGGAAAAACAAAACAATTGAATGACGGACCTGTTGACACCTTACCCCAGCCGTGGGAGTTCCACAACGAACCAAATATTCGTCGTAAGTCTTCCTGCATACAAAGTACACCTGTCTTTGTGCCGTAAACTTCAAGGACAACAACGAGTAGCAGATGTACGATCCGCCAATGGAAATAAATACATGATCAAAAGCTGGAAAAGCTTTCGAGGAGAGCGGGATATAGACGCAAACAGTACCATCACAAGACAATCAATCATAGCCGGAAACTCGAAAACGCTGAATTCATCCCCTTTGATGCAACCCGTCACGTCAAGCCAATGTCCCTTCACGAGTATGATATTCACAATAGTCCCCGTTGCTACTGCAGACCGATAGTGCGAGGAGTCGGATCTTCGTCCGGGTATCGTCAATTGGCGCGTAAAGTTGCCCTCTGTCACTGCCTTTCACTCCCTGCCACAATGTCTCCTATGCTATCGCCACCAGATAGGCCACTTCAGAACACGCACGCCTATAACAGGCTTTCCAACGTCGTGGTCGTACTTGTCTTCCGGCTGTCATTCCGAGTCCATCATTGTCGCCTCACTTGAGCTTTCTTCTTGATTTCGTCGGCAAAGGCTTCCTCGCACCGGCGACGGCGAGCTCATCCGCAGCTTCATTGCCCGGGTTGTTGCTGTGGCCCTTGCACCAGTTGATACTCGTTATCGTTCCTGCAGCATCTCGCCTGCTGAGATGTTCGCGTATCGCCTTAATCAAGTCCTGGTTCTTGACATCTTCACCCTGTGTCTTCCAATTGTTGGTCTCCCACCTTTTATAATATGTCGTTACGCAGTTAATTGAGTATTTGCTATCAGTCCAGATTTGGACGTCTTGCGTGACCGAGGTGGCCTCGAGGGCTCGAAGGATGGCGGTGAGTTCTGCTCGCTGATTTGTTTGCGGGTTGCCCTCCAGGCGCTCAGAGACGTTCCTTGATCCGGCTAAGTTAGTTCATCGTATCTGGCTTATTGAGGCAATGATGTGGGGAACGAATAGCACCACTACCTCGATTGGAAAATGGATCATGACGGAGGAAGGGGAGATGCATTCAAAAGCCAGCTTACCTAGGATCATTGGGTCCAAAGTAGACGCCCACGCCGGACTTGGCGTAGGATTTGCCGTTGTCCAAAGAACTTCCGTCGGTATAAATCTGCGGCAAGTCCAGTATCTCTTGTTTCGTCTCCTCCTCCGTCTCCTTCTTCACCTCCGTAACCTTCGTCGAGGCACTAATAATGGGCTTCCTTGGCTCAATCTTGATGCCAGCGTTCAGGGCACCCGCCTCGGCGCCGGCAATCGTGTCCTCGTTGCCCCATAGCCTGATGAACTCCAAAGCACCCGTGTAGGTGTCAAACCTCTTGTATTTGGGTCCCTTGGTTCCTGCAATTGCCAACGAAGCAGTGTCCCAGTCGTTGAAAATGCCCGTGAAGCTCCCACGCGCGACGGCATAGTATCTTGGGGGGGCAGGCTTTTCACCGGCTGGGTTAGGTATGAACTTGCCTTCCACGAAGGCCTGGGCCTCTTCGCGTGAGAAGAAGGACTTGTCTAGAAAGCAGTCCCTGTCAGTCGGATCGACCAAGAAGGCCTCAAATCACGGGGGGAGGGGTTCGGCCAGGTGCCTCGACCTACATTGTGCTCCTTTTTGGCCGGCAGTCTGCTTCTGGCATTCGAGCCAAGTCAGATAAACACCAGGCCGGAGACCGACGCGCACAGCATAGTATCTCTGCAGGTCCTTATCCGCCTTGCGCTTCTTCGACCTTGATGCGCTCAAGGACGTGTCCTGCCTTTCCGCCGGCATGTCGACGCGTCCGTTCAGAAAGCTTGCGAGAAGCTGTAGGGTGGGGTTGCGGTAGTTGTCGCGAAAGTTGTCTGGTCTGCCTCGCCAAGATATGGCGCTTCGTCGTCTTAAAAGTATTGTAGGTGAGAGGCGACGACTTGTAGAAGCTCGAAGATGGAGTAAGTCAATAGCCTTTGTCCAACCAGCGTGAGTTTGCGAGCGCATGCGTCAGAGCCGTTGCAAAGCTACCTGGTGGGAGTCGCGGTTCAGAGAGTCAAAGGCAACTCATGTTGCAGCCGGTGGCTAAAAGGGTCTCGAAGACTGCAGTTCCAGGGCCGTTTTCTCCGCGGTTGCCTTTGTTGGTGGGCGCATGCCGAAACATGTAACGGGGGGGAAGAATGAAGATTGCGGCAAGGGCCGGTGACGAGGGACCACTTCAATGGAGTGCGGATGGATCAGTTCTCGCTCACCAGTACCGCCCTTCCTCACTTAGGCGCGCCGATAAGATAAGGCGCATCTCTTCCCCGCAGGAAGCACGACCGCTGCAGAGCTTGCCGCCATTAGCGCCATTTGCCAATATAAGGTACCTTAGGTAGTCACCAGGCAGCCAAATGTCTATTCCTTCCGTGGCCATCGCTTTAGGGAGGTGTTGATCGGCCCTTGCACCAATCATTCTTTACTACCTCATATATACTACCTATTGGGCTTATTCAAGGGCTCGGCTCTTCGTACCTCAACCAGAATCATCACAATCCGTATGATGAATCTTAAATGTAGTCTTGCTCGTGCATTGCTAAAGTTGCCGTCTTCTACATATGAGACAGCATGGGTATAATTCCTGACCAGCCTACCGTCGCACGTCTCTTTGACAACCTTCGTTCCGCCCGACATTCCACGAGAGCTGAAAGGACTATCTAAACCCTCTGCTAGCCCTCCCAACCAATCTCTCAACCAACTACAACAAGTTAATGTAATGCGCAAATGAATGCAATGCGCATGGCCCATCAAAGAGCTGGCTCAGAGATTGGGTTACAGGGCTTATCGATACTGATGCATCGAGATTGCCATCAACTTTCATACTCGTTGGCATCCCGGTACACAAAGACTGTTCTGGCCTAGGCCGGTTTCCCGACCATAAGCACCAAGGTATCGTCGTAAAGTCCCATGGGGACTAAGCATGGACTCTGTGATCAACCGGCGGCAAAGGTCCCACACAGTCGCTCGATTCCCACTCCCACGCCAGTAAGCTCCAGTTCAGCTCGCGTCTCCAGAAGAGGCCAAGACCCTCGCCACCACCGCAGTCCTCCAGCTCGGGATGGCCATGGCCTCGGTCTTCCGAGCACATGCCCCCGGTAAGTGGCATGCGTTGAGCGAAGACGACTTTGCCCATCCGCGAATGCAGGATCGCCATCGAGCATTGGACGCAAGGCTCGTGGGTCAGGTACATCTCCATGCCATGGCATAGGTAGCCGTCAGCGTTGGGATGCTCGTCTTGGTGGACCGTGAGTTCGTCTTCAAGGAGCGGAAGATCTTGAAAAGTATCGTATTCAAGGATTGGGGGCACGTTGGAACGGCCGGCTACACGTCTCTCGTGCCGCACAAGCTTCTGCGCTACCATGCTGATAGCTCTGAGCACGCAGTGACCCATGGGATTACCGGTACCGCTTCGGTCGGGCTCCTGGTGCCAACGAGCATCTCCGGCGACCGCTACCAGGTGTGACTTTCCTCCTTCGCGCTGAACGATGACGGCACCCATGGGTTCACCGATGCCCGCCTTCTTAGCCTGGAAGGCGACTCGATGGGCCAAGGTCATCCACAGAGACGTCTCGTCCTTGATGGTTTCGGTCGACCGTCCCACCATGCTAGGGTGCGGTCCAAGAGGGTTGTTCTTTCGGTACACCGTGGGCCAGAATTGCGAGGTCCACATGGCTGCCTGCACCTGAGAAGTCGGCGGCACCATGGGGATCGGAATCTTGGTGAGGAAGACGTTCTCGTCCATTCCCTCGATAGCCCCGAGCTTTGCGGCCAAGTCGTGCCGGTTGAAGTCTTTCTCTTCGCCTAGCATGATGTAAATCCAGGTGGATTTACCCGTGTGTACTTGGCGGCCCTCGGGTGAGTCGTTCATGAATTGTGTTTTGAGATGAGCCGGAACATCCGCTGGTTTCGCACATCGTCGCAAGTGAGGCAGGTTGTTAGCCACGCCTTCAGGGAGCATCGAGCGGATCAGACTGGAGTCAGGTTAGCACATATTAGAAAGACGATGGCTGCCTACTTACTTGACGACATTGTTAGTAGACGTAGATGGAGCCCTCGTGATCAAAGCCTGGACAATGGTGTGGTCTTGCCGAATCTCCAGAGTCGTCTTCAAGGGAATAAGTACTCCTTGTCCGAGCTGGTTTGGAAGCAGATGGTCGATTAGAGCATGAGGCTGGATGATATCAGGGCCAGTGTGCTCAATCTTTTCCTCGGACTGGTCATCAGGCCTGTCAGAGACCATGTTCGGGAGCGAAGGGCGTTCAACAGCGAGCATCTTGGCCGGTAGTCCGATACAGTGTTTTGACTGGATTCCAAGATTTGGGCGGGAAAAGCAGGACTTGAGTTCGTCAGTACTGCTAGGGGGTGGTAATGGTGTGCGTCATGCAGGAGCCGTGACTCACTTCAACGAGAAAGTTACCGTATATCAAGTCGAGACTTTCGGGGCGTAAGACGACCGACAGGAGGCTACGGAGATAGCTGCTGTACACCGTTGGGGCGTGCCGTGAGCGAATGGTGTGGTTAAGCAGACGACGGAACGAGTTGGGTAGCTCCACGGCGGTTTCTTGCGAAGGGTTATAATGACTTGGATGAAGAGTCCGGTCAGAAGCCAGTAATCGAGGTGTTGCTGCCCGAATCTGATGCGCCCCTTTTGATTTTGACCTTGTTGAACAGCGCCAGGATCGGATGTAGCGGAAGAATTGTCGGACAATCAAGAAATCAGAACGACGGCCAGAAGAGGTTCCCAGTGAGGGCTTTGTGCAACCGGCTGTTGATGTAGGTGGCACACCTCGGTCTTCCTTGAGGGAGATATATGGTGCAGTTTCCTCACGCTCCAACTATTCTATCCCCTTCCTCAATGTTGTGAGGGTTGAATAATTTCGTAAGGGAACGGCCAGCCAGCGAGATTACCGCAAAGTGGGTAGGTTCCGGGTGAAGGAGGTCGCGAAGTTGATTATTGCCCAAAGTGAGGTGCACTGAGGTATTTCCTTAGGTACCTAGAGCAGAACCCAAGGAAGTCATGAGAAGCAACTTGGTGAATATGCCCTGGGCCCACACTAGGGAGGCAGGCAGGGCCGGCACGAATTATATCGCAGTAAGGTGGCCTGGAAGGCGCGGAAATGGAAGGCACCCGACCTGCACCCTCAGCATCTGCTCTTGCCTCCTGTTCACTTCCAGCTCTGGGCCGCTTTGTTTGTCTCCTTACGTCCCTTGACTTCTCTGTAGCCTTGGAGACAATCTTGGCTCTCGGGCACTTCTCTGGTAAATGGAAGATTGTGGTCCACGAAGCCTCTGTCGATTCAGGAGGCGAGTTTGAGATTTACCCCAAACACATTTGCCAAGATATCTGCAAATGCACCAGGTATTGTTGAAATCAACGGTTAGCGGGCCCGGGCAGTCTGATATCTCGTTCGGGGAGTCTCAGTCTCAGTCTCAGTCTCAGCCTCGGCCTTCCATCTATAGATGGCTTGAGGACGGATGTAACCCAGTGATTTGGAGACCAATGTCGTCCTGCCGGTTCTTGAAACGACAGGGCCCAATTCGGGACCAAATAAAGAACCCGGGACAGAAGAAAGAGGTCCTATCGGATCAGATGGAGTCGCTATGCAGTGAAGAATGCATCTGAAGGCTAACAGTTTCTGGAAGCGATCTGAACTGCGGTATTGAACGGACGGGACCAAAGTGAAGCATCAGAAAATTTGGCGATCCAATTTACTGACTGGATCCTGACACACCAGGCGTTGGCAGGCACAGAAGGTCCCGAATCGAATCGAATTGCAGGGCAGAGCCGCTACCTTAGGTACCATAGGTACCTCAGCGGGGTCTGAGTGCTTATCGATAAGGTGACAGCCCGCTTAGGTACGCACCTCGGTGTAGCCAGTCCGCCCTTGGCTGAAGGTATGGATTGCGCCTGTGATTTGTCGGGTTCCTACCTTATTTCCAGATTCGTGACATTGGTGGGTGAAAATGGGGCCGTTCTACGATACCCAGCGATTGCACGTACACTAGTATTTTGATGGTTGTCACCACCAGTGTTTCTTTCCTCTCCCAATTTTATCTACGAATTGTCTTGTCCCCCACCCCTCCCCCCCCAGAGAGCGGAGAAGGTAGGAGAAACGGGGGCCATCTCGTCCACAACCACGGGGAGGCGGAGATCGGCTGAAGCAAATATTTAAGCGACTGGAGAGGCAGCTGGAGAAGACTGGAGAAAAAATGTTGACATGGACGTGAAAGGCAGGAGGCGACTACCTAGGGAGAAGGACTTCTATCACTGAAACTAGCCGGTTGTCTCGTACAGGCCCATCGAGATGGACAACCCCGTGAACGCGAAGCAAGACAAAACCTCACCTCACCTCACCTCACCAAAATTACTCACCGGACAAGCCCTCACCTTAGATGGTAGCCTCTTGGAAGTAAGTCCACACATTCCATGACCTGGTTGAGCTCTTTCAACAGAGGTAGGCTTCTAATCCTGATGTATTGGTTGGCTCTTTGCGTAGTGTACTGTCTCACGGCCTGAGCAAGCCAAGGACGGCAGATAAGTCAACTCTTTCCTCATCGTCCGTGCCTCCATCACGGGCCGTCTCATTGGTTATTGGCCATTGGTATGTGGCGGAACAAGTCTCACAAGCCAGACTGTTCTCTCCCACAGGCACCGCATCTTAATTAGAAATGCAATCGTCCAACGGTAACTCAACCCCACGTGCGGAGGCTCCATCGTCTATTTTTCAATCTCCGATAGCGGCACGCCCTACTGGCCGGCGGGGGCCGGCCACGACTGCAAGTCATGCCCATCCCTAAACGCTCTTGCTGGCGGCCCCCCTTTGTAGTTGCAAGCTCCCAGTCGCAACGCGTGCCGGCCATATCTCCTCTTGCATTGCGCCCCGGATGACGCTTTCGCCATCGCAGATCCAGCAAGATTTGCTTGAGATCTTGGCACCACTGGCTCTGCTTGTTGGTCCCTTGAATGTCGTTGAAGAGGCCAGAATAGTGGGCTTTGGGAAAGCGAACGGCAAACCCTGCCGCGAACCCCTCACGATGCATGCGGGGTCAGCAACAGAAGCGGGAATAGACTACCAGACGCTAATTACGCCTAAGCTTCGACACCGGGTGGAGACCACGAAGTGGCGGCGCGGCGGCAATATCGAAAATGGGGAGTGCAAAAGAGGGCCGCGCCGCCGGCGTCTGGAGCACTTGGGAACCCTCCCCTTCACACTGAGATTCGGGAGCTGAGAAGTCACAACTGTCTTTGCTGCAGTCCGCATGCTGCAGTGTAACAGGAGAACCTTCTGCGAAAGAGTCTGTGAGTGGGGGTTCCACGCCAAATTCCTCCTTCGTCATCCATGCCGAGTTCCTGTTCTGGCACGTAGCATGAAGGCAACCTGGCAACTGGACCGGGGAAGATGATTGGCTGCTGCGGTTGAGTTACCAGTTGCCATTGGCATGGCGGGATGACTGGGCGTTGGGTGCAAGCCTCACTCGCCTCGAGACCGATGACATGGCGTCCTCATACTTTGGCGGGACATACGGGTCACTGTCCCGCCGTTCTGCATGCTGTTTGGTGTATGGACACAATCAGGCTCGCCACCTGATTTCGTCACACAGGGACGAGATTATATAGGGTGAGGAAAGCATTTGGGTGACATCACCGCCCAGGCCAGAGTGAAGATGAGCCATCTTTCTTGCAGAAATGTCTAGGAAGATCAGGTTGGCTGGTGTTCAGGTGTTGAGCAGGTAGTGAAAAAATGCTAGCTATCAAGACTTAAAACACCCTAGCATCCCCGCAACACGTCGAACACTGGTAGCGGTAGGGGTTCACGGGTTCGCCAAAACCAGCGGATCCTTGGTGGGAGCGGATCTCCGGGGCATGGAGGTTACTTTTCCAGCCTCCGGACTTCGGGGCGATTCCGAGAAGGTCGGCACAAGCGCTAGGTGAGTCGTTGCAACGCCAACAGGAAATGTGGTGACTATCACTGGCACGCAACCCTGGAGATGGTGTGTGTCAAATCATGCTGTGCACCCTTCTCAGGACGCCTTGTTGAGCGCCGCCGGAGACTTGTTGCAGCAGCATATCGGAAGGCCACTTGTTACTACACCCAGTACTAGAGCGTGTGGACGCTTGTCCAACAAGAAAAATTAGAAAAGGGCAACCTCGAAAAGGGGCTACCTTGGAAACGAGGACAGGGCAATTGACCGCAAGGATAAGCTTTGAGCAAGTCTAGAGGCGTGTTGGCGAGGCTTGATGTGAGTGGTCTATTCCGGAGGCTTGGCTGAGAGCTGGAATGCCTGAGAAAGATGGGATGGTTGTAGAATAGCTCTGGTGCCGCCACGGATTGATTCAGGAGGGGACTTGGCGGCCGATACTCTTGAATCTGAGTCGTGAAACATCTGGGTGGGAAGGGAAGTGGAAAGCGTAGACGGATCGACGGGGTATCTCCGACGAGCCCGGTGAGCCAGCCAGGCCACACCTCAATCCAGCAGACCGTGAGAAGCTGACAGACGTGGGCTTGGCTGTCCGCATTGCAGTGTCCGTATTACGGGCACATTCTCAAAGTGTCAGCCAAATACCACCAACGGGGGGTGCTCACGCGCACCCGCGCGCACACACAGACCGGCGGACCAGACGAGGATGGAGCACGGCACACGGAGGACAGGACCCAGGCAGACGGGGAGACGCAAAGGATGGGGCCGGCTGTCATGACGGTGTTTGGGGACTTATTTTAGACGACGGCGGGTTGTGTTTGTTGAGGTTTCCGTAACGGGCTGTGTGATGCACAGAAGACAGAGATGGTTGGTTGGTTCGGCCGCTGATATCCATGGCCAGACGACGATTGTCAGGACTCGTCCTTGGTTGAGCTTGGGCTTCTATCTAGTGTACGGAGGAACATTGACGTGGGCCATGGACAAGGGAAAGATGAGGGCGTGGGCGGATAGGCTTCAGGCATTGGACCAAGACACCAATAGGCGGCAATAGAAAGGCAAAAAAGCAGGAGGAGCTCTGTTGTTGGTGGTGCACTATTGACAACGTAAGCACTTCCACTCGTAACCTGGAAACCCGAACCGTTTACCTCAGGCCAGAAATAGGTACTACGTAGGGCTCTGAAATGATGCCCAGCCTTTGGTCCCATCGTCCTGTTACAACTCTCAACTCGCCTGGGGCCTCTAGCTCGGCCGTACTGTACTCCCCATCAAAAAAACAAAACAAAATCATGCGTTGGATGGGCAAGTACCCGTAAAGCGACCGACATATTGCCAAGCGGTTGCTGGATAGGGACTGGGTAACTGGGTTACGAAGATAACGTACACAGAAGCAATGGAGGAAACACGTGAAATGACCTCAGTAAAGGTGGGAAGTGGAATGCTGTCAATCTCGTTCGTGAGCCCTGGCAAACGCCAGGTACGTGTAGGAGATTCGGAGGGCGCGCGCGGCTGCCTTGAACCCGCCGTGTCACCTCACCTATGGGAAGAGTGAGTCCACTTTGACATTTGGGCAGTCAATTCCCCCGTACCGTAAGGTAGGTACACTAATACCGTCCGTCGCTCTCAACCACTCTCGCTCGCTCGCACGTCCCGTTCGCTCGGGCACAGACGCAGGGCCATACGGGCACTTCCACGTTCATGTCCACGTCGAGTTTGGCACCCCCCGTTTCCCGTCTCGGTTCCTGTACCAAACCGTTGGGCTGGCAGAATGAGATACAAAGTAGAGAAATGCAGAGAGACAGGCAGACTCGAGAGGGCCACGCAAAGCGCTTAGACTGCTCCGTTCGCCAGCTGCGAAAGGCTGGAAGCTCGTTGGCTCCAAATGAATGTGCCATCGCCCGCTCTTTCCAACCCCGAAATCACATCTAAAAAAAAAAAAAAAAAAACCCAATTATGGGAAGGAAAGAAAGAAGGGGAGAAGAAAAAAACATCCCGCGCCGCCACGGGTCAAGCATCCCAGGGCTCCGGTGCCAGGAGAGGCTCGACCAGGTCGCAGACGGGGGTACCTTGCCAAACGAATGCACCCTAGATCGCCGGAAAGGGCACATCGGCGACCGGTCACCGAGCATGCAGCACCGACCCAATTAGAGGCTCCACCGAAGGGAACCTCTCCAGAAGCAGAACACAGCGGCAGGGCAAGCCCCAAATTTCGACAAGGCAAGAGAGGAAGAGCGCGCGGTGGACCGGTGGTATCCGTACACTTGGGGTGCTGGTGCAGATGCTGGTGCATGTTGCAGTCCTTGGGGGGCGGCGGAATGCGACAGGAGAGAAATGGGACAATTTTCCCGTTTACAGATTGCAGAGCACAAACACAGCCAAGAATGTATTATTATACCGCGCCAAGAGTGTCCTTCTAACCTAGGATGTAGAGTCTCTTCTTACACGCCTCACGCCTCACTCTCTCCTACAGCTAGGCACAGAAGAAGGTGCGCCATCTTCAGACATACCTCGTCAGCGTCTTCAAGGCCAGCCATGCAGAGGAAGAGGAGGAGGAGGAGGAGTACAGGCAAGGCAAGGCAGGGCAGGGCAGGGCTCCATGCAAAATAAGGCAGTGAGGAGCCTGAGGAGTCTCGGACGGGCCTTCTCCTTGCTCATCCTCACCCTGTCCCGTCCCGTTCATCGAACCCTCGCCCTCATCCAGATCCTCACCTCACCCCATCCATCTCATACCGTCCCATCCTGAGGTGTCTTGCTCTGCGCTGCCCATCCCACTACCCATCGCCCATTGCCTCGACCGTACCACTAAACTAGATATATCGGTCCTTCCTCCATCTTGGGGCTCCATCGCTCTGGCCCTCCCCTCTTCTTTCTATCCTCTTTAACCTGACAGACCCGTCTATTCCGAACACATTAGAATCGTCTTTCTTTTCTGTTCTTGTTGTTGTCCCACAGCCTTTTTATTGATACTTTTTACCCATCCAACCAGTTGCTTTGTGTGTTCTTGCTTGCACAGCAACACTTGTCATTTCTGTCATCTTGCATGCACTTGGCAATACCATCGTAGTCTATCTGTACCATCAACCTACAGTTAGTTACCTATACAGTCCAGTAGTAGATATCTCCTCCCACTACTACTACTACTCCTCCTCCTCCTCCGAACAGGAACAGGACCGCTTTGCACTTACACGCGCTGTGTCCCTTGTCTTGCTCCCCTCTCAACACTTTTTTCTCTCATTCCGCCCAGACCACGCCTGCTGCGAACCCGGCAAGACCCCTGCACGCTAAGGCACAAGCTATCCATCTTGGACGCCACATTTCATCACCCACCCTGGGACAGCTCGACCAGCTTCCCCATCCTAGCACAGCGATTGGGTGCAGGCCCTTTGAACCGACCCAAGGAGAGAATTCTCACAGCAGGAGCCAGGAAGCAGGTGCACCCAGCTAAAGCAACAAAGCGGCGACTGCTCTAAACGGCAAGCCCAGCCAACCACACCCAGTCTCACACCCTGTGTGACTCCTTCCTTTTACAAAGGGTCGTCGGCGTAGTCTGTTTTTCCCACGCCTGCCTCGCATATCCGCATCCATGCCTTCCGCAATCTTCCCTGATCACCACCCAGGTCCGTACAACGTCCACCCAAGCTATTCTTTTTCTTTTTCTCTGCCTCTGCGCGACAGTCTCGACACTTCTCCCCATTCTTGTCTGCAGCTGTCACTATCGACGAATTCACTCTTGAAGACGATTTTGAGTATTAACATATTCTTTTTCATACAAAAAAGACCTTGGCCTTATACAGGCCAAGCAATCTGCTCTGGCGAAGTTGGCCATGAGCTCCAACAAGGATTCGCGCGCCCCTTCGTCATCGCCTCCCTTCCACTCGAACAAATCGACCGCAGCGGCAAACTCGAACTACTACAGCGAGCCCCAGGCACTACCCGTATCGCACCCTCACGATGGTCTCCTTCCGCCTCCCGCTATGGCTCATGCCATTAGATCTATGAACGACTTGAGTGGCCCGATCGCCCTCCGCGATCGCTCCTTGATCGCCAACTCCGATACCCCTCCTGCCATGCGAAGCGTTGTTTCGACCGCTCCCAATTCTCCCAGAATGTATGTATAAACCTAAATCTACATTGGTTCCACCTCGAGCGTATACTCCTTCCCTCTCGGTGGCTTAGCGTCTGACAACACCTTACAACCCTCGTATTCTGGAGTTTGGCTAATCGAGTACACACACAGCCCACCCGTCCGACAAAACTCTGGAGGTACAACTCCGCGCCTTCGCCCTCACCCCGCCACACTCAACGTGCCCGGCATGACTGTCTCGAGAGCCTCGCCCGATGGCAAAATCAGCGACCGCGATGTTGCTGCGAAGCTGGTCATCGTCATGGTCGGACTTCCCGCGCGCGGAAAGTCGTACATCACCAAGAAAGTCCAGCGCTACCTGTCGTGGCAGCAGTACGACTCGCGCATTTTCAATGTCGGAAACCGCAGACGCGTGGCTGCCGGATTTAGCTCGCCGATGAAGCCTGCACACTCGCCCGCTGCCGCTAGATTCGACTCGCCGGCCCATGCTGCCTCGATCTTGCTTAACGGGCATGTGCCTCGCGGCAATAAGGAGCCTGCCGAGCTGAACCTCAACGATGAGAGCGACGGCATTGACCAGTCCGCCAAGTTCTTCGACCCAACCAACGAGACTGCGGCCGCGCTCCGGGAGCAGGTGGCCCTGGACACTTTGGACGAGCTCCTGGACTACCTTCTGCACCAGGGCGGTTCAGTTGGAATCATCGATGCGACAAACAGCACCATTCATCGCCGTCAGCTTTTGGTCGACCGAATCAAGGAGCGCGAGCCCAAGCTTGGAATTCTCTTCATTGAGAGTATCTGCCATGATCAGAACGTGAGTCGCCTTGCCGCGCCTGCCTTGTAGAAATTGAACTAACATAGTTGCAGCTCCTCGAGGCCAACATGCGTCTCAAGCTTTCCGGCCCCGATTACAAGGACAAGGACCCGCACCAGTCTCTTGCCGACTTCAAGAGACGTGTCGCCGCGTACGAGAGCGCTTACGTACCCATCGGAGAGTACGAGGAGGCGCACGACATGCAGTATATTCAGGTATGTACGCGCACCAGCGCAGCCAAACACAAGTCGCTAACAGACCATTAAAGATGATCGATGTTGGCCGCAAGTTGGTCCAGCACAGACTGCGGGGCTTCCTGAGCGGTGGGATCAGCTCCTACCTGACGACATTCAACCTGGCGCCGCGGCAGATATGGTTGACCCGGCATGGACAGAGTGTTGACAACCGCAGCGGAAGACTTGGGGGAGATTCTGATCTCACCCCCGACGGAGAGCTCTATGGACATGCTCTCCACCAATTCGTCACCCAGAAGCGCAAGGAGTGGCTCATTGAGCAGAAGGACAAGATAGCGCAATCGTCCTTCCCGCCCAAGGCCGGCGACCACACCCCGCCGTACCCCGAGCTCAACCGCGAACTGGAGGAGAAGAATTTCTGCGTTTGGACCTCGATGCTCAAGCGCAGTGTGCAGACGGCACAGGAATTCGACAATGACGACGATTACGATGTGAAGAATTGGGCGATGCTGAACGAGCTCAATGCAGGCCTGTTTGAGGGCATGACGTATGAGGAGATCGCCAGAAGATTCCCTGGCGAGTATAGAAAGCGCGCCGAGGACAAACTTCACTACACTTACCCGGGCGTCGGTGGGGAGGGATATCTCCAGGTTATTGCCCGCCTGCGCGACATGGTGCGCGAGATTGAGCGCATCGAGGACCACGTCCTCATTGTTGGACACCGCTCGGTTTGCCGTGTTCTCATGGCCTACTTTATGGATCTCACCCGCGACGAGATCGCCGACTTGGATGTTCCCTTGGGTATGCTCTACTCCATTGAGCCCAAGCCTTACGGCTACGACTTCCATGCGTATCGCTACCATGCGGACAAGGGAACTTTCTTTGAGGTCCCCAACTACCGCCCGCAGCGCACCGTTAACCGCGACGCTTGAGATCAGAGCCGAAGACAGGCTTTGACTGTACCATATGACGACCTGTACAATACGAATGGACTTCCGGCAAGGAGTTTTGGGCGTTGAGGAAAACTCAACTACAACAACGATTTTGCTCTTTTTTCTTTTTTGTTTTTGGAAGGGCGTGGGATTCAAAGGGTCCTACACAGATGATTTGCTACTTGAAACAGGGACTTCTTCAACCTCGGTGGTGGGAAGAGGATTGAAGCATTTGCAAGGCGTTTGGGAATCCAAGACGACTATCTGATGAAAGAGGTCAAACAGATACCCATGACGCAAAAAATCACGAGAGACTTAGCCAGATGGCCCTCTCATTGCTCAACTATGCAAGGCTTGTTCAAAAACATAAAGCCACCAGGTTCTTCTAAGCAGATACTGAGAAAGAAGTCTACCATATGAACGTGCTGTGCAAATTGGGTGAAGAAGTTGCGTTGAATGACAATGTGGTGCCCAGGTACGTAACGAAATCCCTGGGATCTGACTAAACCGGTTTCTTCCCGGAGATATGGATGGCTTGACCAACAAGTGACAATCTGACGTTCCCTTCTTGTGTGTGTGTGTGTGTGTGTGTGTGTGCCTGGGCTCTGGGCCGACGTCCTGTAGGAATGACAGAAGTGGAGGCTCCGCTGAGGTGCGCTAGCGTCCGTTCGGCAGATGTAACCGTAGAACTATGATGTGACGGGACCGTTTATGTTTTTGTTCCTTGTGCCTGACAAGCCTCTAGGGGTGATTGTTTAAATTGAGAAGTGTGGCGTGACATACTCAATCTAGATGCGTGTGTGGCCGGGGAGCCGACCGGGTGAAACTCGGCGTCGTCTCTCCCTTTCATGAGGCTCAAAGGCCGGCGGGCCCTCTTCCTTTGTCACGAGGTTTGGCGGACCGAAGTTTTGATTCGGTCCGAATGTTTGTACGAGCGGCGTTTCTTGCGGCTCAGAGATGTTTTGCAGATAGGGGCGATTGCTCGGTGGTGAGCGAGCGGTGGAGTCGTGGGTTTGAGGGTTGTCGGGTGATGTTGATAGGGCCTTTGGGGGTTGGGGGTCGTGTGGTGTGATTGTGAGACAATCTGGAGATGGCCGTATCTGGCGGAGATTGCAATTGTGAGGCTCAAGTCATGTCAGATCGTTTTGAGGGCGTGGTTCTTTCTCGCCATGCAGGTGATTTTGACAATGCCTGTAACTGAAGCTCTGGGCCATGGCAACGGTTTCCTGTCGAAGCTTGAAGCCGCTCCGGTTCTGAAAGGTCACCTCATACAACCTCAGCCATCAAAAAGGGTCCTAGGTATCGAGCAATGCTCGCATGCGCGCTGCTGTGAATGTATTGGCTGGCTCGTCAGGGAGTTCTCCTACACTGAGAGAAAGTTGTACGAATACAGCGTAGCTTAAATCTGCCTTTGGCGTGCTTCTCGTTCGGCACATCTTTCCCTATCGAGGTGAAGGGTTTGAATTTCAGGGTCAACGGCACTGGTATTGGAGGTGCCTGATACATACAGACTTTATGATGGGGTAGTTCATATCCTGAGGCTCCTTCCTATGTACGCATAATTTTGCACATGTTCGATCTCAGCTTGGAAACCCCTTTTAGCGCCTAGCAAACAGCAACAATTTCTCCTAGCTTTCGACAATTTCAGTATCATCCACTGCTTCCTATGGGTCTAATTGGATATCTGTGGCAAGCTGACGCTTTCGAGCCGGTCCATTGTTGGCTGGGTCAGATGGAAGCAGACTGGAATTTGTATGGTGGTATGGATGAGAGCATACTTACCAGCCGTGGTGCACGAGTGGGCGGTGGTTCCCTCATCGTCTGAGGGAGCAAATCAAACTCTGAGTTACCGGTTGCTACCTTCTCTTTCACTTCCGGTTCCCTCGTGAGTGCTTGACACAACAAGATGACTGTAACAATGACCAGCTTCCTGGAAACACCGCTTTGATGGTCATGATGCATTACGTTTGAGTGGAGCGTTTCTAAAAACATTATTCCCGGTCATTTCAAGCCTTATAGCTAAGGGCACCTTGAGACATGATCAAACTGCTCAAGGTTTGCCAAGTGAAAGAAGAATGAATAGTCTACATTGAGGGTGACCCGTGACCGTGCCATTATCCTTCTCTGTAGACCTGAGCACCAGAGCAAAGGCAAATTGATGGCGTAAGTGACATGTAATCTTCACGTACCTGCTCCAGTACTTTGTGATGATCCGAGTTATCAATATCAGCTGAACACGAAGCTACCTAACAACACCAATAACCTCAAAGTATTATCAAAAGTGCATTCGCCATGGAATTTATCCTAGGCAATAGACGACAGTAGAATTCACTTGATTAATCGTTCTGTGTATGGAACTTTGGAGGATATACTCTTAACCCCCTCTTCCTGGACTGATCGAGCCCCTTCCCCGACACCGCTGGCGATATCGAGCATCAAGTTATCGATCAAACCATGATGGAAGCAATATTGGCGCCTAAACATCACGAGGACGGAAGTCTTGACAAGATGCGGACAAATTAGATCCTTTTATGTCGGGTTGGCATTGGCAAATGCCAGCTCATGGAGGCGGCTCGACTTCATGAGTTGGACAGCCGACGTATATCACTATGACCACGGGACTCGGCATTACAGGCCGCGAATCAACGGTCATGAAGCTAGTCGCGACGAGAAACGAACAGCTGACTCGTACTTGCGGTGCTGAGTTTATAAACATTGTGGGAATATGGTACAATTGAACGCCTTCAAATGCCGTCTCTCATGAGAGTTTTCATCACGGCGCAGGTTAGTAGTGCTGGGCAGGGACCAGATGGTTTTTGTCTGCGAAGCTCGCCTCCTCCCCGTAATGTACCTGCCATTGTCCTGGCCGTGCTATCACGGTCAACGAGAGTGCTGACCACCCTGGTGGTCTGCTCTTACAGGGGAACTTCTTCGCTGCCATCGTCATTCAAGATGCACAAGAAAGCCCGCTCTCCTCTACTAGACACATCAAGACTGGGTGGGAAATGCTGTTACTTGTTTACGTCTTTTTGCTTGATTTGTCCCCCTTCACAACAAGTAATATGTTCCAATGCCTTACTTGCCAAAACGTCCTCGACTTCGAGCCCATCTCATGAAAAGGAACCAACCGTCCACTACATAATATGATCCTAGGAATAGTCAGTAGTCAAGTGACAGTCTTTCAAATTCGCTTGGTGGGTGTCAAAGAGCCTCGGAACTATCGTAAACCTCATGATGCCCACCTCAATGGAGACCTTACCCATAAGCCCGTCCAAAAACGTGATTGTTAAGGGGCATAAACCACCACATACTACATACAGAAGTTTAGGCGCTACTGAGGAAGCCTTGTGACAGTCTTTTGACTCTGCGCCGAGAGACTCTGAGACTATGCGTATTTATTGGGGGATGGACCGTCTGAGAGGCCATCACCTTGGGTTTAGCGAGCTCGAAAAGACTGACGAGCAAAACCCTTGGCGATCAGCTACCACTTTGAGCTATGTAAGATCACATCTTTAACTCTGAGAGAAGCCACAGCAGCAACCCAATCCACACGACCAGTCGAGCAGAAGACCAGGATCCATGAAGTATAGAAGTCAACCGCATGCGTTCTCCTCCAAAACGAGCTGTGAATTCCGAAGCTCAATAATCTTTTTATTCTTCAGACGATTCGGGAAAGAGAAAGGGGTGGTGGTTTCATCTTCCATTTCCTCATCCGCGGAGGACCCGTCGCCGACTTCGTTTGAGACAACAACAAGAGGGTGAGGCCGGCGTAACCGACTACATGTTTCAATGCGCCAGGCTTCACAAAGTCGATTGAAATTTCAGAACTCTTCATAGCTGGTTCAGACGGCAATGCCGGTCTGCTCAGAGTGCATTTGGCCACGTCGTCACGAGTTGTGAAGACGTCGATTTCTGCTCTCCTCCCGCCGGGTGCCCTTAGCACATTGTCAAAAGTTTGAGTCACATCGACCTCGACCTGTTCCGCCGATTCTTGGATAGTGTTCGAGTCAAGCGGAATATGCACCGGACATCGCCTAAAATCGACAGACAGCTGTAAGTAATTGAAAGATGATATCACAGAACATCGGCATGAAACAAATGAATGACTTGCCTGGCTCGACCCCTCACTCGATTGATAACGTTGCCGGTAGTCTCCGTTACTTTGGGCCGATTGGAACCTGTACTTGGTCGCTGGCTTCGTAAGCAATTGAGGGTACGGCATATAGTAGTCCGAGGCGAGGGGCGGATGCTCTGCTTCAATGGAGTAGTCAAGAGTCGAAATCAAAGCATTGTAATGGCAACTGGGGATCAGAAGATTTGAAATGACTGGAAGTGACTGGAGTTAAACTTGTCATACATAGATAGTTGGGTGAAAAGTTGGAAAAGTGCCTTGTCGAACCACTGGGCTTCATCGCGTGCGTCCTGGATGACTTGCCCTGTTGGCAAACCGGGGAAGCCTGCTCTATATTTCGGAAACCAAAGGTCGAATGAACCGGTACAGACTCATTCCATGGGACAGACTTCACTGATGATAGGCGACTACCAGTTCTAATGAAAGAAGTATTTTATCGAGAGAGCGTCTTACACTGTGACCAACACCTTACCGAGAACTCGAACCAAAGCTTGTTATAAACAAGTTTGCCATTATTTCACATATGTACATAAAGCAAGATGGTCTTAGCATCAATGACATGCCACTCATCCATCTTTCAACATGACCAGAACCAAAGACGTAACAATATACCAAGCCACCAACAGACAACCAACTAGCCAACAAAATTGTCGCTCGCAAGCAGAGGTTTTTGAGGGTATCAAACAAGACACCTTTTTGTAATGTGGGTATTTCCTGAAATTCCAATGTCTCCCTCCCGCACGCCTTTTATTTTGACCGACCCCCTGTAGACCTCGCGGTCACGTGAAATTTCATTGCTCTTCTTTTTCCGTTTCATAACGCTTGTTTCTTCTGTTCTTGATGGGAAGACCTTTAGGCATGAACGGGC